GAATAATCAACCATTGGAGGTCAAAGGGGCAGCGTTTCAGAAGGGCTGGCAGAGGAGGAGGCATGGAAACAGGAGGCACAGGGAGGAAGCAGGATAAGTGACAGTACAGGGAAGGGATTGCAGTCCATGACATGAAACCAATGCATAGGAGTTAGTGGATGAACAATGTATCTGCTCCACAACCTTACCTCCATTCACAATACAATGTCAAATATGTACAACTAAATGTTTTGTAAAAGCACTCTATGACCTGGTTATTTCACTCCAAGGAACACCTAGAAGATTTGTAAGCAGAGTGTTAAAAAGAGATTTGAAGACCAGTGTTCATCAGAGGCTGATTCACAACAACCAAAATCTGGAAACAGCCTACATGCCATTAACATATGAGTGGATAAACAAAATGTGGTGCAGGCATACAATGGAATACTACCAAGCCAGTACTAGAAAGGAAGTCTTGATTCATGCTACAATATGGGTGGAGCTGGAAAACCTTATGCTGAGTGAAATAAGTCAATCACAAAAGGACAAACATCATACACCTTCCTATATATCAAAAGACAAGAAAACAGTTTGCTAATGGTTAGCACAGGGGGGAGGAAGGCGTGAAGGTTAACAATAATATAATTATCCCTTTGATAAAGGATAGGCTTGTCCAGTTGATTCTGGTAATTGCTGTCAATAAGCTATACCCCTATAAGAAGTTGAATTAGCAAACATGGTGGACAGATAGATTTACAACAACAACAGAGAGGAGAGTAGCTGCTGGGCCTTCTTATGTGCAACCAAGTATCTCAGGGGATCTAATTCCTTAGTTTGGAGGTTCCTGGTCACAGTTTTATGGACTATTCCAGTTGACTGCCCTGGAATGTTGGAATAATGTGCTTAGTGATTTTCTTCTACTTTCTAATTCACTGCATAGAGTTGGTGGTTTTAAAAACTTCCAGAGCAACCATCCCAAGCACAACAGTTGGTATCCATTTGCCTGGACCCACAGAGAGAGAAAGGAGAGCCAGGATTAGGAGGCCGTTATGGCATGTGTGTCTAACTACCTCTACGAGCGTACCTTTGCCATGAGTCCAGAACTTGATGGGACCTGGATACCGTGACTGGACATTTAAAAAAATAAATTAATTTATGTAGCCAGCAGATCAAAAGGGAGAAAATGCAGAAAAAAATTTCGATTTCTCATAGACTACAGTGTTTCTGGAGCCATGAAGATTGGATGGATCCCTGAAACTATTGCTCTGAGATACTTTTTAAACCTTAAACCAGAACTACCCCCTGGAGATAACTTAAAATTGAATTAATAGTTAAGATTCACCAGTTTAAAAAATAAGTCTGCCCTAAGTACTATGCTTCTTTCCGAACTATTTATTTATGGTAAAGTTTACAACAGCCATCAAGAGTTTAGACAGGAAGCGTAGGGACAGTGCGTTTGTGAACAAAGGAGAAATCATTTGGAAAAGTAGGGTGGGAATGACACACGACGTGAAGCACGTAATCAGTGTCACCAGCTAGTGGGCCTGGTGTGTGTTTTGCTGTGTGCGTTCTCAGCAAACAAACCCCCCACAAAACACGAACAAAGAAAACCCTATGGGACACAGTGATACTCTGACACATGGGGCTCCCCAGGAGTCGGAATCCATTCACTTCCTACTGGTTCAGAACTGCTCCCTTTACCCGTCAGTGGAATTCATCTGTCTGAAATGCGCGGGAGGACGGCTATCCAGCCCGCTTACTCTTGACTCCCTCCTCCCTTGGTTGGCCCTGCAAAGAAGCAAGCTCCCAGCAAGGCAGTTATGCTAGCTGGAATGACACCTCCGGTGGCCTCAGCCTGCCTCTCCCTCCCACTCACATCCACCACCCTTCAGCCAGCAAAACGCAGTCAATACAGACCTGCCTCATGCAAGCGTGCTTCACAGAGGGGAGACTGCATTGGTGGTCGTCTATGTCAAATAAGTCTATTGGCATCATGCCTCCAAGAGCGTGTGCTCATTTCACAGAATTCGGTAATTTTCACAGTTTCAAACTTTTCCTAACTTCACTTAATAGACTACAGTGTGCAGTGTAAACATAATTTTTATATGCACTATTCACTTTGTTGTGGTGGTCTGGAACTGAACCTTAATGCCAAGGTAGGCCTATACCAACCTGTGCTGGGTGCCTCTGGGTTCTGCAGAGGCAGATCAAGTCCTTGGGGTCACCGAGCTTGCTTTCTAGTGGGAAAGGAACCAAAAAGTTAGCAAACACACTTTCACATCCTGGAAATTGCACATGAAGACCAACAGAGCAGGCCAAGGAGTAGAAAGCAAGGTAGGGAAGGGAAGGAATATTTGCAGGCCTTGTGTGAGCTCAAAGGGAAGGAAGTCCTTAATTTATTCATGCTCCCTGGGGTGAATGCAGAGGAATGTTTTAGTTAAGATTGTCTTCAAACGTAAAAGGAAATCGAAGAAAGAACTAGAGGCAAAGGGCATTTACAGAAGTCTAAATACATGTACATATGTAAATCTATATATAATGATAGGGAAATAGATCTATGAACATATATTTATATGTTAAGGATCAAGGTAGCAGATGAACATTGGGCCTCTACTCAAATACTCCCTCAATGCAAGAACACTTTGTTCTAATAACCTCACATTATGTGATGCTCACCTTCCCGACATTGCTGAAGACAAAATGGGTGCATAAGCAAATGTGGTGAAGAAAGCTGATGGTGCCCGGCTATCAAAATGTATAGCGTCTGGGGTCTTAAAGGCTTGAAGGTAAACAAGTGGCCATCTAACTGAGAAGCAACAAAGTCCACGTGGAAAAAGCACACCAGCCGTTGTGATCATGAGTTGTCGATGGGATCAGGTATCAGGTATCAAAGACCCAGAACAAAAAATCATCAGTGTGAATTAGGGGGAGTGGAGACCCAAAGCCCATCTCTAGACAATTGGACATCCCCTTACAGAAGGGTCACAAAGAAGAGATGAGCCAGTCAGGGTGCAGTGTAGCACTGATGAAACATACAACTTTCCTCTAGTTCTTCCTTACCCCCCCACCCCCCACTATCATGACCCCAATTCTACCTTACAAATCTGGCTAGACCAGAGTATGTATGCTGGTACAGATAAGAACTGGAAACACAGGGAATCCAGGACAGATAAACCCCTCAGGACCAATAGTGAGAGTAGTGATACCAGGAAGGTAAGGGGAAGGTGGGGGAGAAAGGGGAAACCAATCACAATGATCTACAGATAACTCCCTCCCAGGGGGACGGACAACAGAAAAGTGAGTGAAAGAGGACATCTGTCAGTGTAAGACATGAAAAAATAATAATAATTTATAAATTATCAAGGGTTCATGAGGGGGGTGGCTTGGAGGGGGAAAATGAGGAGCTGGTACCAAGGGCTTAAGTAGAAAGAAAATGTTTTGAAAATGATGATGGCTACAAATGTACAAATGTACTTGACACGATGGATGGATGTGTGGATTGTGATTAAGAGCTGGATGAGCCCCTGAGAGAATGATTTAAAAAAAAGGTTGTCCTCAAACTCATACTCATAGCAACCCGATAGAACCAAAAAGAAATACCCCGATGGTTTCTGAGACTGTAACTCTTTATGGGAATAAAAAGCCTTGTCTTTCTCCCAGGAGCGGCTGGTGGTTTTGAACTGCTGACTTTGTGGTTAGCAGCCCAACTCACAACCGCAATGCTATCTGGCCCACTATGAGTCAGAATCAACTCAGTGGCAGTGGGTTTGACTGGTTGGTTAGTCTTCAAAGGTCGGTATGGCCATGTGACCTTGGGCAAGACCCTGGATGGCTTGAAGACACAGGGTGTAAGGATTTGGAAGAGCATCTGCCAGGCAGAAAGCACCATGGCAAGTCTGGTGGTCTTGATGTGGTAATGAACCTGACCTCTTGCACATCAACTAGGACACTAGAACTGGACTAATAAGGGTGGGTATGAGGGAGATAGGGTTCTGCTGCAGAGGTCACTGAAGGACAGTCGTGGTGGGCTGTAAAGGGCAGCACCAGCAGTGGAGTTATCCACAGTGGTGCTGGGAAGCCTTGATGGGTGCTGAACAGAAATCTCTTATTTGCGCCCTGGCCCACCCTGGCAGGGTGCTTCTCAGGGTCCATCTCTGCAGGTTCTCCAGCCACCACGACAGAGTTGTGTGTTCCCTCCTCTCTGCGCCCACGCCCTTTGCCCATGACTGTCTTGGTCTCCTAGTGCTGCTGCAGCAGAGATACCAGATGTGGGCAGCTGTAAAGAACACACGTTCATTTGCTCAATCTTTTTGACAACAAACCAGTGTCTTGGCTGTGCCCGTTCCTCTCTTGTTGCTACTCTCGCTGTTTTCCTTGGCTTGTTAACAATCTCCACCCGGCTTCTGTCTTCTTCCTTCTGGGTATGCATGTCTCTGAGAATGGTTCTCTGTATGTAACTCAGAAGTGATTGGGTTTAGGATCCATGCTACACGGACATGACCTCTGCTAGACTGATTCCATTGCACTAGACTGCATTATGGAAAGTCATCACATCACATCACATCACACTCTCAGACTAGAATTTCAGCACATGGTTGTTTGGTTTGTTGAGTGACACAATTCAGTCTATAAGAATGGCCTCGGAGCAAGAATCACAAAAAGATTCGACCTTGCCATCCACTCTGACCCGTGGGATTGAGCTCTCAGGGTGCTGTGTTAAATGGTTCTGGAAGGCCTTGTCTGGCGTCCAAGGGAAGGAATTCTCCAATTTATTCATGACACCTGGGGTGAATGCCAAAGAGGAGTGAAGTGATCCAAAGGCAAGGAATCTGCCAATGGCATTTGTTGACTGGTTACTGTTGGTTACATATGTGAAGTAAGGTAAGCTTTTTGAGAACAGCGCTCCAACGGTTACATACGTCGTGTTGAGAGGCATTGCAGGTTGCATGGGGTGGACTCCCAGGTGGCCATCATAAAGAAAACCATCCCTGCCTCTTACATCTGCCCCTTTCTTCTCCCAGAGGCAGGCAAAGTACTCCGAGAACAAGCTGAAATGCACCAAGGCCCGGAATGACTACTTGCTGAACCTGGCCGCTGCCAACGCAGCGATAAGCAAATACTACATCCACGATGTCTCTGATCTAATCGATGTGAGCACCCTGGGGAGTCTGCGACTGGAGGAGGGGCTCGTCTTTGTCCTTAGTTAACATTCTGGGGTGGCCCTGCCCGACGGAATGGCAGGGAGCATGTGGGGCCTGGGAGATGAATCGTACTTCATGGCTGCCCCTCTGTGGGTGGGAGGTGGTGCCCTTCATGGCTGGGTCGGGCAACATGTCTTGCCCATACCTTTCCCGAGTCCCTCCTCAACAGCAGCAGGCCCTTGACGAGATTTCCCGATTGGGGGATGAATCACAGTCGCTTCCCAGGATGGCACAGGAGAGATCTATGTATATGTTCCTGTCCCTCCGCCCTGTATCTTGTTGCTTGGCTGCTATGACACACGCACTCGTGAAAGCAATTAGTGCACGAGCCAGAATTACACAGATTCGTTTTACACAGGGGCCATTACCTCGGGAGAAACTGGGTGGTTTAGCAAGTGTATAAAGGAACACTGGCCCCTCCATGCCAGCTGTGCTGCGCACGCTGTACGAACAACCCTGCTTGTAGCAAGAAGGTGCTGTGGCATGTAGGTGGGAGCCGGGACTGTTTGTCTTCCCCTTCCTAGGTAGACCGAGCTCTGCCTAGTAGGTGGCCAGCACAGGCTCAAGGCTGGCTGATGGACCCTTGTCCTCTGACCCTGGGTATCTCCTGGGGAACTTGGAAAGCCATTGCCTTCCCCTTCCCTGCAGAGGGGAGCGAGCACCTGATCATCATCCCTGCCCTGCCCTGCCCTGCCCTCTGAAGGCGCAGACTCCTCCTCCTTCCTGCCCTTTCACGTTCACTTTTAACATTAAGCCTCTCTTTGATTCATTTGCCAAATATTTATGGATCACCTACTGCAGCAGTGGGCGAGTCTGCAGGTCTGCCCTGCTGGGACCGACTCTCCAGGGGATGCATGGTCATGCCATCACCAAGCAGAGTTGTAGGAGTCACAGCGAGGGGATGAAGGGACACTGGGACTACACGTTGGCCGGAGAGGATGTCAGGGAAGGCTTCCTGAAGGAAGTGGCCTCTAAACTGAGACCTGAAGGAAGATCATTGAAACAAGAGAGGCTAGGAGTATTCCAGGCAGGGGCAGCTGCTAGTGTGAAACTTAGCGAGGAGGAGGAAGAGGGTGGACTCGGAGGGGGATCCTGAAGAAGCTCTACCATTGTCCAAATGAGAATCCCCGACTCCCTGTGGGGATGCGTGGTTGATTCCAGAGTGCACTAGGGCCCCGCAGCTGTGGTGAGGGAGGCACCTTAACTCCCTGGGATGGCAATGTCAGTTCTGGTGGTCAGCACCTCCATGCCAGACTCTCACTCTCGGCTCTGGCGTCTCTCTCTCTCTAAGTGCTGTGACTTGGGCTTTCATGCCAGCCTGGCCCGAACCTTCCGGACCTACCTCTCGGCTGAGTACAACCTGGAGACCTCCCGCCACGAGGGGCTGGATGTCATCGAGAACGCAGTAGACAACCTGGACTCCAGGAGCGACAAGCACACCGTCATGGACATGTGCAACCAGGTCTTCTGCCCGCCACTCAAGTTCGAATTCCAGCCCCACATGGGGGATGAGGTAGGCTTCTCCCAGGACTCCCCGTAGCAACTCCCGATGCTACTCTTGTTCCAGTCTGTTCTCTTGTGGCCCTGGGACGGGGGTGGGAGGCGAACATCACCGGCAGATGTTTCCCCCAGAGGCCTGAGAGTTTACTATGAACCTTGGGTCAACCTTGCTGACCCACGTCTCCCACCTGCAGCATCACAGGGCTTTGTTGCTCTTCATGCCAACTCAGGAGCCCCATGTGTAACAGAACAAAACATTGCTCAGTCACGTGCCAACTTCATGATTCTTGGTATCCTGGGTTCATTGTTGGGGCACATATACACGGCGGTACCCCAAAAAACCGATGTGTTGTGAGAAGGATACTGCATTTGGAGTTGGTCCCACCAGGTCAGACTGTTCATCAATTGTTCTATTTAGAGCAGCAGTTCTCAACCTGTGGGTCACTACCCCTTTGGGGGTCAAATGACCCTTTCACAGGTGTCGCCCGATTCATAACAGTAGTGAAATGACAGTGATGAAGTAGCAATGAAAACAGTTTGATGGTTGGGGGTTCATCACCCCATGAGGAGCCCGTTCCCCCTGCCGTGTGTTCAGACCTTCCACCTCATCGCCTGGACTTGAAGACTGCTTTCGTGACTCCCCCGCTGACTGTACAGCTTGGGTGTGTCCACACCGCTTCTTATCCAGCTTCTCTCGGCTCACAGCGCCTTCACCTCTGTCCCCGTCCACCTGTGCACCCCAGCGACTTCAAACGCTGATTTTTTTCAGAAACCGGTTGCTAGACCTTTCTTCCCAAGCACCCCTGGGTGGACTTAAACCTTTGACCTTTTGGTTAGTAGCTGAGTGCTTTAAACACTTGCACCTCGCAGGGTGGCCCTTCAACACCCAAACTCCCTGTCATCAAGTCCGTTCCTGCTCATAGCAGCCACATGGGGCAGGGTAGAGCTGCCCGGTGTGCTGTTCAAACTGGAACTTGTTGCAAGAGGAGAAAACCTGGCCTTTCTCCCTCACCTCATGCCAGCTGGTGATTTTGAACAGCTGATGTGGCGGTTAGCAGCCCAGCGCCCAACCCAATACAGCAGCAAGGCTCCTGGTGTTGTTTCCTTAGTGGTAAATGACCAGCATCAGTGATGGGACCCCCACTGTCCCTGATGACCTCAGGTCTTAGAGGGATGAGGGACCGAGGGAAGGTAGGCTGGCCCAGCCTGCATGCAGCAAGAGGGCCCTGGATGGAATGAATGGTGTAGCAGTTGTAGGTCTCTTGGCTCTTCTCCTCCCCAACCCCTCACCCTGCCGTTAGGAGGGTGCACACCCCTGACATTCCCACTGAGCCAGATGATGTTGAAGCTCTTAGTAAATCCACCATTGCCCCTGAGACACTACCACTATGATGGCAAGAAGGGTGGACTTAGGAACAAAAGACCGTGCCCTCCGTGGGCTTTGTCACACACTGACTGTGTGACCTGGGGTGAGTCCCCCCACCACTCTGGGCCTCCGGCTGCTTGTCTGTAGACCTGGGCATGAGTGCTCGACCTTGTCCCAGCTCCTCACTGGTGACAAGGGCACTGGGCCACTGTAGGCGGGGCTGTTGTTTCTGCAGGTCTGCCAGGTCAGCGCTCAGCAGCCCGTCCAGACGGAATTGCTCATGCGGTACCACCAGCTGCAGTCCAGACTGGCCACGCTCAGAATAGAGAATGAGGAGGTGAGTGAGCCCTTCCCTCGCCCCGGAGGGAGAGTTTCCTCACAAGGCCTGGCCCGGCCCAGGGAGTCCCCTCTCGCCACGCAGCGCATAAAGAACTATGGCATTATAGCAAACAATGTTCCGCTGTTATGAATATGACTTTCAGTTGCTAATCTCTCAGACGTGGACAGCCCAGCCCTTTTTCTTCCTAATGCACTCTTCGTCTGGAAGCCCTGCTGAAACCTGTTCACCATGCATGACCCTGCTGGTACTTGGAATACCAGTGACATAGCTTCCAGCATCACAGCAACATGCAAGCCATCCAGCAGGGCAAACTGGGAGGTAGCGGTGGCCTTTATGTTAAGGTTAGATTAATTCCTAGGTTACTGATTTGGAGCTATGGTCGGTGATGCCGCCTTCTCTCTTCCTTAGACTTCGCATTGTGATTCTGAATGAGCGTTGACAGAGCAAATTGATTCTTCCAACTCAACAGTTCATAGGCGCTCTGCTTGACGGCCTCGGTGATAATCACCACAGTGCAGCCTCATTCTCCCCACATCCTCCCTGCACATGCCACTGCCGCCGGCCTCCTTTCCCATCCCTCTGCATTTCTTGGTGTTATTGTTGACCAAGAACCCTGTCCTTGGTTTGGCAGAAAGTTGAGCCATCGGGGTGAGTCCCATTCCAGGCTTGGTGTCAAGGTGCTGGGAACTCTGTTAGCGGAATCCATCCTCTAACAACTGAAGGGTCAGTGGGCACAATTGTACGGTCATGATCTATAGAGATCGTAGTAAAGTCATTGAGAACAGGAAAGATAGGAGAGAGAATAAAATACCGGAATAGGGCACATTCTATGGTAGCAGGCTCACCTCAGCCCCTCTTGGTGGTCCACATGGAAGTGGGAGAGAAGAGCGAGAACATTTCCTATCTTGGGCCTTTTATAGGTAGCCATAAGACATTGATATTCAGTAGTTACATATGTCACAAGGTGGGTGGAATCAACAGGAATCAGGAGTCCACGAGCTCACAGGTGAGGACACCTCATACCTGCATCGGGGGAAGGGATGAGCGGGGCTGGGTGACAAGGCGGAAGAGATAGCAACAGGATGTCTGCTTCTGTAGGGAGATCAACTCAGCCACGTGCTCACTTTCAGGCAGCACAGCTGTTAGGGGAGAATCTGTGGGAACGCTATTTAAAGCAGGACAATGTACTTGGACTTTACCTCTAACTTACCAAAGTGGAGGCTTTCCTACCGTGGCATACCTCTGTCGTAAGGTAGGGAACACAGTCCTCGTCATATCTCCCTCAGTGTTAGTTTCCCACACAGCGCCACCAGTCCCCAGAAGATCAGGGTGCCTGGTCCTTTTTGTTCTTTGGAGTTTTGTCCTCCCTCTTCCTCCCACCCTTCTTGGGACCCCATTCAGAGCAGTGGGCAGCGGAAGCCGGGCATCACGGAGCCTTGGCTTCAGGTTCGTGTGGTCCATCGGTCCTTTGCACTGTCTTCTTGCTTCTTTAATCGTCTTCAGCCTTTACTTCCCTCACGCTTTCTTCTCATTTATTTAGTTTCTAAACAGTTTTATTGGAGGCGTAACCCAAATATTATACACTTCAGTAGTTCAATCCTATCAGGAAGTGCTGTCCATCCTTACCAGCAATCAACTGTAGACCATTTTCTTTTTGCTTTACTCCTTTTAATTAGCTCCCCATTTCCCCCCAACCTCCCTGACCAGACCCCCAAGGAACCATTAATCCAGTTACTGTTTCTATGGATGCAGCCATCCTGGATTTCGTCTACAGAAAGACATACAAAAATACAAAACAAAGAGTCAGTAGTGCTAACAACATTAATAAAATAGAGAAAAGCCCCAGTTGGAAAAACAAACAAACAGAAAATATGAAAAACTAGGGTCAAAAGGGAGATCAGATCAAATGATAAGATGTTAGATTTTACCCTTAGTTCTATCTGTCGTAACCTGCTTTCCAATGCATTGTTTATGATAGCAAGGTTATTGCCATCCCGGGTCCATGTTTTCAGAAGGGAGTCACCAGAGGCTTCATCCACATGCATTTCCCCTTCACTTTTTTTTAACTGCTAGAACTTTTAGATGTGTCAAAATGGGAATCAAATCAGATGTTGCATGTTAATCTACTACAAAGATTTCTACAGTATTCTCTGTCTGATAACCAAACTATTCACAACCCTAGATTATGGTCAGTGGGAAATCACCAAAGGCTTAACCCATGTGTAGATCTTACAAATGGATTGGGGGCTCCCAGGTCATCCATAGCCTTCTGCAAACCAGTAGTTTACGATTTAAGTGCTGATACCATTCCCTCTTTGGGATTTGTATTATATTATTTACAATCCTTGGATCACACAGGCTAGTTGTGCTTCTTCCATGTGGACTTAGTTGCTGCCTCACTTGGATGACTATTTGTTTGAAGACAGCCCTTAAGATCCCAGACACTGTTCTTTTTGATAGCCAGGCATCATCTAGTTTCTTCACCACACTTTGCTTTAGCACCCATATCTTCAGTGATCTCTTCATGAGGGCACATATTCAGCGGGACCATGCCATAAGAACCCATTGTTCTTAGATTGGGACTAGAATTAAGTGCGAGCTCAACATCCATTCATATACCTATGGTTTATAGATGTCTCTGGTTCACCTTAGAGACACCATTGTCACTTCATGTTCAAGAACAACCATCTCCCAGGAGCAAAAGTTCATTCTATTGATAGTGTTGTTAATTTAGCTAATAGTAAAGGGTTTAAAACGCAGTTGAGAAAAGGAAATTACGTAAGTAGGCTAGCTGCAAACTGAGATACATGAATTATTGATTTGTACAGATTCAATCCTGCAGTGGCAGGACACAGACAATGGGGTTGACGGTAAGGCAAACCTTTCAATAATATTCATGGTCAGCGGCAAAACCAGGCCTACCAGAGTAAGACAATAGCTCCCTAATACAGCAGGAAGGGCCTTGAAGTAGTGAGTAATTTCCAGTTCGATACCAAGGTCCGGCTATCTTCTGCTGCTTCTCATACCATGTAGTTTCAGCCTTAAGGCCAAGGGCCACGGCGAGTTTGAGGGAGAGCCCAGTTCACTCAGTGGGCTCTCCACAGTGAGTCCTTCTGGGGTGGCCTGTGAAGGACGCGGTGTGCCTTGAAAGCCCAGGTCTAAAGCCCCCGTGGTCTGTAGCGCAAGGCCTGGGTCACAAGAGACTCAGAAGATTCTAGGTCCCATGTGCCCGACTCGGAGCGCAGTTCCAGGCCTGGTCTCCCCTCGGCGTCCAGGTAATGTCTGGAGGTGGATCCTCCCTGTTGTTCCACCATCGGAAGTGCCTTGCTTTCTCTGAGACATGCAAGCTCCCGTCCTCAGATCTTTTTTTTTGCCCCGATGAGGAAAAACATTTTTATTTGTTTCCTTTTTTGTTTGCTTTGTAACTTAGCTAAAGGGAATGACAAGTCAGAGCAAATTAAAATAATTATATCAATTGGAAGGTATAGTTCATAAAATGGTAACTTTTCCAAATTATAAACGAGTAAAATTTCATTTATTCCTAATTATCAATGAGTAAAATTTCATTTATTCAGAATTACAAAATCATTCATTTTTAAAATAAAACGAGTTAGTGCACGGTTGTCTTCAGAGTGACGTGCTTGCTCTCCAACACTTTCGAGAGGTCTCGTGCGCAGGTTTCTCCTTTTTGAGATCCAGTGCTGTTTGGGATCTTTTGGCTGCTCCTTCCACGAGAACTGATTGTGGGTCCAAACAAGACAAAACTTTTCACAACTTTCCGTCTTCTCTGTTTACCGTGTGGGAGGGTTTGATTTTCCGTGCACGGGGTTGCATCCATCATGAAGGCTGCAGTCCTTGCTCTTCCTCAGCAGGTGCATCAGGACCTCCCCACTGATGGTAAGCAGGTTGTGGTGTTTCTTGGGGCGACCTTAGTCCAGTTTTGTATGGCCGCAATTAAATGGTCATCTCCCGCTCTCACTGTCTTGGAAATCTGACCCAGCTGAAGTGAGGCCGCCTCTGTCAGCGTGGTTTTTGAGATGTCCCGATGGAGAGGGTGCCGCGTGCCTCCTGGGCACGACCCAGGCTCTCTACCAGGTTGCTGGGCAGACGGCTGGTTTAGCAGAAAATCCATGACTTGGGAGCAGAAGCCTGCCTTCATCTTGGTGTTTATCCTTATAGCAGGGGACCACGGCAATAGTGTCCTTTTGCAATAGACTAACTTCACTCAGCATAAAGGCTTCCAGATCCCTCCAGAACATGAGGTGTTTCATGGTTTCATCGCTGATTTTTTAGGGATATGTAGTATTCCATTGTGCATATGTACCCAATTTTTTTTATCCATTCTTCTGATGGGCATATGGACTGTTCCCACCTTCTTGCTATGAGCTATGCTGCAATGGACTTGGGAGAGCATACTTTTGTTTGTGACTTGTCTCTTGTCTCTTTGGGGTGTATGCCCAGCAATGGCATTATTACTGTTGTCATTGTTAGGTGCTGTGTTAGTCTAGGTACTTTAGAGAAACAAATCCACACAAACTCATGTATAAAGAGAGCATTTTTTTTTCTTTTAATAATCATTTTATTAGGGGCTCATACAACTCATCACAATCCGTACATACGTCATTTGTGTCCAGCACATTAGTACATATGTTGACTTCATCATTCTCACAACACCCGCTTTCCACTTGAGCCCTTGGTGTCAGCTCCTCATTTCCCCCTCCCTCCCCGCTCTCCGCTCCCCCTGAGCCCTTGATAATTTATAAATTATTATTATTTTATCACGTCTTACACCATCCGACGTCTCCCTCACCCACTTCTCCACTGTCCGTCCCCCAGGGAGGAGGTTATATGTGGACCTTAATTTCATCTCTCATTTAGGCTGGCGCCTCATCTTTTTAAAATAGTGTGGTGCTGAGTCTCCGTGCATTTGCCTTTAGGTTCTTGTTCTTTTTATTCCTGATTTCCAGGGGTTTGGGCCCTGTGGTCTGAGAAGAAGGATTGCATGACCTCTCTGTGTTTCCATTTAAGGCTTGCTGCATGGCCTAGCATCTGGTGGATTTTAAAATGCATACCCAATGTGCTGGAGAGTTCCACTGTCAGTTGGAGCCTTCTGTAAATATCTCAGAGGTCAAGCGGTTGATTGTGTTGTTCGCTCGTCCATTCTTTATTGAGTTTCTTTCCTGTTGATCTGTCTTTCCTTGGGAGTGGCGTATTGAAGTCTCCTACGGTTATTGTTGAGCTGGTGATTTCTTGTTTCATCTCTGAGGATTTGCTTGATGTATTTTGAGCGTCGTCTTCTGGGGTGTGCGTATGTATGTTTATTATGGCTATATGTTCTTGGTCTATTGATTCTTTGATTATGATGTAGTGTTCTCCATTCTTGTCTCTGATGCCATTTAAAGACCTCAAAACCTAAAAGGCATTGTGAAGCTAAAGGATTGGCATTGATACGCTTTATCCCCCAGGTTAGGAAAACCCTGGACGCTACCATGCAGACCTTACAAGACATGCTGACAGTGGAGGACTTTGATGTCTCGGACGCCTTCCAGCACAGTCGATCTACAGAGTCCATTAAGTCCGCTGCCTCTGAGACCTACATGAGCAAGATCAATATTGCCAAAAGGAGAGCCAACCAACAGGAGACAGAGATGTTTTATTTTACAGTAAGTGGGGCCCTGACCAAGTACCAGTGCACGGTGTACTGAGACCCTGGCAGTGACTTGGGGGGAGAAGTTCCAAAAAGTGGGAGCCAATAAAATCACATGGGTCAATTAGACCTAAGAGTCTTGTAGCATGCTTTTAAAATGAAATTGCCTGACTTGGTTTTCTGAAAAGCAGAAAGTGAATTATCCGCCAGAGCAACAGCATCGATGTCGGCTTTGCAGTTTTTATAACATCCCTGCTCTAGAAAAACCCTGAGATAGAGTTGCATGGGGATTGTCAGCCTGAATAGTCTTGAGATGTGGGCTTTGAGAATAGTAACCTCGCTGGTCCACGCAGATTGGTCATGAGATGCCAGCCCTTCCTGTAAGCCCATCACTTTATCCCACTTGGTCAAGGCTGGGAGGAGCAAGGAAAGGGGGAATTGGGGCTTTAGTTCGATATGTGTCTCTTGAACACAGAATTTTAGAATTTCAATGGGGCCGCTAACTGCAAGATCAGCAGTTCAAAACCCCCAGCGGCTCTGAGGGAGAAAGAGGAGAGTTATTACACCCATAAAGAGTTAGAATTTCAGAAACCGACGGGGGCAGTGTTACTCTCTTGTGGGGTCACTTGAAATCAGAATTGACTCCAGGGCAGTGAGAAGGGAACTGAACATGACTACATTCAATCTGTCCATCTGATGCTTGAGTCTGTCCACCCACATCCCCACCCCATGGTCATCCGGGCTCTGTTTGGATAGCCTCAATCCTGAACGTCCCCTCCTCCCCAAGGCAGCCATTATCCGTGCTCTCTTCACCGTCAGCCACACTCAGGTTTCTAGCCAAGGATCTCAATTCCATCCTCCATACCAGCGGTTCTCAACCTTCCATACAGCTAGCTCCTCGTGTGGTGGTGACCCCCAACCATAACATCATTTTCATTGTTATTTCATCACTGTCATTTTGCTACTGTTATGAATTGGGTGAACCCTGCGAAAGGGTCGTTCAACACTCCCCCCCCCAAGGGGTTACGACCCCCAGGTTGAGAACCGCTGCTCTAGAACCTTCCGGAGCAGGGCTGATGCAACACAGCAGCCTCTCCCAGAGCTGCGACAGCTGGGTTTTCATTTCTGCAGGTGAACCTTCCAGTCCCCTCAGTCCTGCCTTGGAAGGCCTCGGTTTCTAGTGACGCTCCTGAGCATGTTTGATTGGCAGGTATTTCTGGGAAAGCGAGACCCCTGGCAGTGGTCTGGCCAGCACAGAATAGAGCAAACCTTGCACTCACCCTTCCCAGTGCTGTGCTCCTCTCCATAGATCTTAGAATCAGAATATTTTAAGTTCAAAAACTCCAGACTCACTGCCATCGAATCAATGCTGACTATAAGACAGAGTTGAACTGCCCCCATGAGTTTCTGAGACTGTAACTCTTTATGGGAGTTTTTACTAAGGAACAGCTGGTATTTTCGAACTGATGATCTTGTGTTTCACAGCCTGGCGTATAACCATGACGCCACCGGTTCAATCTATGCTCCTTCCATGCTGTTATCAGGTCGGGTCTCCTTCCTCCTACAGGCTGTGTAGGTGATTTCTAGGCTGATTTCTAGCGATTCCATCGCTCACAACTCGATTTCCAGTTGACGGGTTCCATTTATGGTCCCAACCTGCCAAGCTCCTGGTCCGACATACATGCTGCTTTGTCAAAACCTGTGTCAGTTGCGGATTCAGTGAACATGCCAACCAGGGCCAGAGCCAAAGAGCCCCCCAACCAAACCCACTGCCATCAAGTCAATTCTGAGTCCTTGTGAATCTTGATAAAGACTGCCAGTCTGTACAGCAGCAGAGAGCCTCGTCTTGCCCCTGTGGAGCAACCAGTAGTTTTGAACTGCTTCCCATTTGATGAGCAGCCCATTGCCTCTCCCACAGTGACAACCAGCCACTAGGCTGAGACTGAGCTACTAACTGACACCTTTTTGATGATGGTCCTCTAACCAGTCTCATCATGGGCTTACCAAGGGACCCTCAGCAAATCGCACCGTGGGCTGAACCGCTCTGGTCTCCGCTGTAAAAAGGGCAGACTTATCTCATCTCATGCAGATGGGGTGATTGTAAGCCCACTCAGTCCTTCCTCCTCCCGCCTGAAACCAGATAAAAGACTCACTCAGAGGCTTCTCTCTGGCATGCTAGGTAAAACTCTCCTGTCTCAGCCTGGGGGCTCTGGGACGGTCTCTTTATTCCTCTTGGCCCAGAAGCACAGCCCCCTGAAGAAGATCTCTGCCTTGTGCTCCATCTGACAAAAGCCTCTTTCACAGCTCCTGCTGTTCCTTGGTTTCTTTGTGTTCCCAAACCCTGACCTGAAATGCCTGCAGCCCATCACAAAGGGCCCGGCAGCCACTTGTGTCTGGGGTTGGGACAGGGAGGAACAGAGAGGCAGGTGCCGGGGAGGGCCCTGCAGCACATCGCCTCCCCTGACTCCCCAGATCCCAGGTCCTGCGGTGACTGGTCCCTTCTTTGTGCCTGTGTCTTACAGAAGTTTAAAGAGTACGTGAATGGCAGTAACCTCATCACCAAACTGCAGGCCAAGCACGACCTGCTGAAGCAGACTTTGGGAGAAGGTGAGGCTGATGTCGGTTGTGCGGTGCAGCTGCCACGCCTGCTGGGTGCATGGCAACCCCTCTCTGCCCCCGGCCCTTGGCAGAGTGGTCTCCCACACTAAGCCTACCTCCAAGGGCTGGGCAGGCTGGGGGCAGTGGTTGAAATGAATCCATCCAGTCTGACAGAAGCCAGAGTCTTGGTTAAGCCTGCCAAGCTCCTGGCCCAGGTGTTCAGCATACACATTGCCTTTCACACCTGTGTCAGCTGTGGATTCGGTGAACATGGCGACAGGGCCAAAGCCTTGTTGGGGTTGTAGGGGAGGGTGCAATGCAGAGTGACTGAGAGAAGGGCCTCTGATAGGGGTGGGGCACATGGGGTCTTGGACACAGGGATCTGCATGGACAGTGTTCACTTGTGTGCCCGGAATACTGTTGGAGGCCCGGCCGGGATGCTCAGTCCGGGGAAGAAAAATCATAGTGGAAGGTCAGTTCTTAGCCTTGAGGGGCTTGGGTGGGAGACTGAAAAGCACCCAAAGATGGAATAAAAGCCTCGTTGGGATTAAATTTTTTTTTTCTGTAGAATTTTTCTTTTTTGAATGTTTTATTCTCTAACTTTATGTTTTTAATTTGTCATTTTATTGGGAGCCTCTTACATAGTAAAAGAAATATTTTGAGCCAACTTCTCATGACACATAAAGCTTCACATCCCCTGTGTGCCTCTCCTCATTCACTCTCCAGCCACACCGAGCTGCTGGCTGCCCTTCAGAAGGCACCCAACTTATCCCTGCCCCAGGACCCAAGCCACCCACACGAGGGGTGAAGGGCACACCCAGGGTGCTGGTGCCAGTGGACCCAAGAGGACCTCTTGAAGCAGGCCTGGAGAGCACCAGACGTGTCTTGGGGAGGGGGCGGGGCTAGACTGGGCATGGGGTTGGCTAGCTGCTGCCTGTTGGCCTTGCCCCCCTCCTTGCCTTTTCGGTGAACCACTTGCTTCTCCCGGCTGGTGGGTACGTGTCCTGGTAGCTCTGTGCTGGGCCTGGGGCGAACCCTGACATTTGTGGGTACGCAGTGTTTGCAAGCTCCGTGCTTTGGAGGAGACAGTGAAAGATGAACCCCTTCCTGTCCCCCAGGAACTTATAATGAGGTGGGGATAGGGTGGGGGTGGGGAGCCATTCATGACCTCCTAAAAAGTTCAATGTGATGGCATTAAGTCACATGGGAAGACAAGCGTGATTACCAGACTGAGCACGCTGGGCTGGGGGCTGGGCACAGGGGATTGCCAGCCTTACCTCCAGGAGAAGTGACAGCCAGGGCTTTAGAAGGAACCCCATCGGGATTTTTCTTTCAATCAACTTGATGTGTAATTTGTACCTCATAATTCACACCCCCAAATTGGTGATTTTTTGATCAACGTATACACCCGTGTACAACCATCACTCATTAGCTGTCCAGGTTAGTGCAACCAACACTGCCATTACCATTCCGCTAGGAAGTCCCTTCTGATTTTATTTTATACCCTTTTCATTTTGGCAGTCTCCACCCGTCCTCCAGACCAAGCAACCACTCATCTGAGATCTGTCACCGTAGGTTGGTTTAGGAGTCCCTGGGTGTAGATGGCCACACTCACCCAGAGACCTCTGGGAAGACAGGCACACAAAACAAAGGATATTGCCTGTGAGTATAATGCTCTGTTACAGAGCATCCATATGAGACCAACTGGCCAGTGTCTATTCTAAAGCACAGATAAGTGGGCAGAGACATGGGAGCACTGGGAGCCAGGGCAATCAGGACCAAATGAAAGAGAATGTGGTCAGGTTGTGACCAAAATGTAACTGGTGTCATGGAATAATTTGCATAGACATGGTCAAAAGGCATCCTAATGTGCTGTGTCAGTGTTCTCCCAAAACAACGATACGTTTTTGTTTGTTTGTTTAATGGAGGAGGAAGAACAGGTCACGAGAGGAACTTGGGTGAGTGTGTGGTAGGGCAGCTGCTAGATGAACATTAAAGCGGGCGGTTCAATTTGACAGTCATGGGATTCGTGGCTGGGCACTCTTTCTCGTGAGCAGAAGGCAGGCCCATGCGAACTGGTGGCCACTTGAATTTTTAAGAAATCATTCACTCTGGATTTATGGACGTGGATGTTCTTCCAAACAAGAAGAACTAGCCATTGGGTGCACCCTTGGATCGGGGAGAGAAAGTGCTTCTCTCAGTTCCACCATGAGGGCTTATCAGATGTAAGTTTTATTATTGTCCTTGTCTTAATGGCCTTAATGGAATAGCAGTAATAAGAAGTTTGGGTTGGCAAATCTCCTGACCCAGTTAGTCTTCCAAGCTATTTAGCCTTCAGCCACACCTTCCTCTGGGAAGGGCTCCCCAGCTCTGCTGAGCTTCAAGCCCACTGCACCAAAAGCCCGGGGAAAACAGCTTCGGAAGTCAGCATGCAGCTAAGAACAGCGATTGTGAGGAACCTCCGGGGCCCTGCTTTCTAGCACACCATCTGCGAAAAGAGCCCACGTGCTGTGGGGAGAATGGATCTGATTAGCTCAGTCCATTCAGGGGAAGATTTTGCGTACACTTAAAAAAATCCTTTTATTAGGGTCTTGTACAACTCTTATCACAATCTATTGTGTAAGTACATTTGTACATTGGTTGCCATCATCATTCTCAAATCATTTGCTTTCTACTTGAGCCCTTGGTATCAGCTCCTCATTTTTCTCCTCCCTCCCCTCCACTCCTCCCTCATGAGCCCTTGATAATTTATAAATTATTATTATTTTGTCATGCCTTACACCATCTGACACCTCCCTTCACCCACTTTTCTGTTGTCCGTTGCCCAGGGAGGAGGTTAAATGTGGATCCTTGTCATCAGTTCCCCCTTTCTACCCCACCTTCCCTCCACCCTCCAAGTATCGCCACTCTCACCACTGGTCCTGAAGGGATCATCCGCCCTGGATTCCCTGTGTTTCCAGTTCCTATCTGTATCAGTGTACACCCTCTGGTCTAGCCAGATTTGTAAGGTAGAATTGGGATCATGATAGTTGCGGGGCGGGGGGAGCATTAAAGAACTAGAGGAAAGTTATATGTTCATCATTGCTACACTGCACCCTGACTGGCTCCTCTCCTCCCTGTGACCCTCTGTAAGGGGATGTCTGGTTGCCTACAGATGGGCTTTGGGTCCCCACTCCCCACTCCCCCTCATTCACAATGATATGATTTTTTGTTCTTTGATGCCTAATACCTCATCCCTTCGACACCTTGTGACCACACAGGGTGGTGTGCTTCTTCCACGTGGGGTTTGTTGCGTCCACTTTTCCCTTTAAAATGATCTTCGCTTTACGGAAAAGTTGCCAAGCACACTCCCCTCACTGCCCTCCAGTGGATTCCAACTCATCGGGACCACACCGTGCTGTTCACCACATGATGAACCTCCCTCAGTGTGAGCGTCTTACATGAAAATGTAGCGTTCGCCACGATGAGTCCACTGTGTACATGCGCACACACACACCATGATCATCAATGAAAATCCATACTTTCCCAGCTCTCTAGTTCTGTTTGGTGTTCCAATCGGCCTACCAGAAACATCTAGTTGCCACGTCTCCGGAGGCTCCCTCTTAGGTGTAGCATTCCCTCAGGCGGCTCTGGTTGGGGCGGTACTGAGCACTTGGAGAGCGCTGCTCAGCTGTTTACATTCAGAATGCGGGGCTTCCGTCTGATGGCTTTCTCAAGAAGCTCCTGGACTCTATGTTCTCTGGAGATGGGCCCCACAGAAGTGGCATCGTCATCACATCCAGAGTCCTGTCCCAGGACATACCGAGGGTCATCTGCACTCAGCTCTCTCCACAGAAGGGTGGCGTCAGGGTGGATTACCCAATAAACCAGGAAAGCCCGGCCTTGCTTATGCTTGCCTACTGATCACTAGTGAGCAGCTTCACATGGTTTTCACCACATAGCCCATGAAATGGTTCACTGCAGATTAGTAAGGAGTCATGACTAAGCGTGTACTTACCTTGGTTACTGGTACTCCGACCCTGTCAGAGACGGAGGCTTGGAAAAGAGGCCTTGATTCTGTAAGGAGGTGATTGTGGGCTTGAAAGAGAGAGTGAAGTCAGCCAAGCCTACAAGCAGAATCTTGGACATGGTGAACAACACGTGAAATGGTTCACTACCGATTAGGAAGTAAACAAACTAATGCAATGATTACCTTGCTTGTCAGGTAACCCAACACTGGGTGGAGGGTCAGTTGTGCCAGTCCAGCTGGGCTCTGCCCATCCCTGGGGCATGCTCCTCCTATCATTCTGTTAAAACATCTGGGGCTTCATGAATCAGGTCAGGGAAGGGCCCTTCAAAGCCTTCAGGGGAGCGGTCATCTGAAAGCATCAGCCATTCCAAACGACCATGAACCTGGAAGAAGGCGAAGGGGCTTGGAGCACTGGGAAAGGGATCGCAGTCAACCACAGAGATGGGGTCGAACTGCCGAGGCCCCCACCCACACATCCCTGGTATAATCAGGCTGAGTCAGCAGCAGACTGCTCGGAGTAAGTGGTTATCCCAAGAAAAGCGATTAGGGTTGTAAATAACTACTAGGAGTTGAAGGCCTTGGGATGGCACAGTCGTGAAAGGGCTTGGCTCTTAACCCAAAGGGCTGTGATTCGAACTCAGGAGGAAAAGATGCAGCAGGCTGCTTCCTTAAAGGTGCCAGCCAGGCAGTCCCATAGACAGCTCCCCTCTGTCTGACAGGGGACACTATTTGTTGGAATCGACTTGTCAACAGCCGGTTTTTATTTATATGAAGATTTGCAAACAATGGCCCATATGGTCAAGTCTTGATTTTGTAAATAAAGTTTTATTGGAGCACAGCTGTACACATCCATTTAAGTGTTTCCTATGGCAGCCCTGCCCCCGCCATTGCCGCAGCTTTTGGACTTTTGGCAGAGTTGAATAGGTGCGATGGAGATCCCACGGGGCCCACAGATCTGAAATATGGATGAGCAACCCTTTTTATCGTTTGGTCTACACCAAGAAAAGTCACAATGTGGAATTTCCGCTCTCGTTTGGAACGGAATAAAGGGGATGCGATCTCTCATAATTTCCTTCTTCCACGATGCGAGTCAAGGGATCAGGGTGGCTTCTAGGGCTGTTGAGTGAAGGGTGGTGGGGGAGGATCATTCAACTGAGAGAATATGCATTGGCTTCAATTGATGACACTGTTCTGCCTATTTATTTTGTTGAGAGTAGATTGATAAAATATTCCTTCCTGAGCATTTTGGTGGTGGTGTGATTATGCGTTGGGCTGCTAATTGCAAGGTTGGCAGTTAGAAACCACCTGCCACTCCATTGGAGAAAGAGGAGGCTTTCTCCTCCTATAAAGAGTTACAGCCTCAGAACCCCCAGGGGAGCTCTACTCTGTCCTGTAGAGTCTCTATGCGCCGGCATTGACTCGGCGGTGAGCTTGGTTGAGTTATTCAGGATGTTCTAAGAGTGTGGCTACTGTGAAGTTACACCGGAAGCCTCTCCTGTCATCTGAGGGTCACCTGGTGTAAGGAGGGAGGATTTGGAAATTTCTAAAACCTGTGTGAAATATGAAGCCAAGTGGAATGCTATGGCTGAAAATACAAGGCCCCTCTCCACCCTGCCCTCCTCCCGATGAATGAAGTCTCGTGCCAAGTGCCTCGATTCCACAAATGTCCTCAGCTTAAAGAAGCCCCCAAGTTAAAGGAAACACAAGATCTTTTGACTCACCTTTCTAAGAAGGGAACTTCTGAACATGATGACATCAATCAGACAAGCCAACAGGCTTCTCAGGGCTCATTAAATCGGCATGCCTATTACACCTGCTATCACCAACCCCCCTGAGAAGAAGAGCACACCCCGCCTGATATGCCCTTGGCTGCTGTTCTCCTGTGCTATTGGCCAGGGAGTGATCTTCTTCGGGAAGTCTGAGAGCCCTGACCTTCTCAGTCCTCTGGGGTTGGTGCAGGAAGCTCCAGGCTTGCCACCTGGGATGTGGGTGGTTTTCCATTTTCTAAAGCCTCTCAAGTATGAAAAGTTCTTTTTCATAAAAGGGATGGGACATAACCTCTTCAGGCCAAGATTTAATAGCTCATTACAGAGGAAGCTATCCCCCAGGATCAGATGGTCGCCTCCTCGCAAACGACCAGCCTGCCCACAATCAATCAATCAATCATAAAAATAAAATGAAGTAAGTAAATATATATATATTGCTTCCTAACCATCAGTCATTGAAAACACATGTCACATCCAGGGCACAATACAGCACCAATGAAAGTCACTGTGTTTCTCTCGTTCCTCGAGGCTCCCTCACCCCCCCCCCCACCCCACTATCATGATCCCACTTCTACCTAACACTCTCTCACTCACTCGCTCACTCACTCTCTCACTCACTCACTCACGCTATCATGACCCCAGTCCTGACTCCCACTGCGGGCTAGACAGGAGCATGTACCCTGGTACAGAGAAGGGATAAGAGCTCACAACCCATGGAATCCAGGAACAGAAATGGGAGTAGCAATACCAGGAGGGTAGGGGGAACGTGGGGGGAGGAAGGGGGAACCGATCACAATGATTGACACATAACACCCCCTAAGGGGGATGAATAACAGAAATGTGGGTAAAGGGGGACAGCCATCAGTGTCAGATATGAAAACAATAATATATATATAAAATTTATCAAGGGGTCATGAGGGTGGGGAGGGAGGGAAAAAAGAGGAGCTGATACCAAGGGCTCAAATAGAAAGTAAATGTTTGGAAAATGATGATGGCAACATATGTACAAATATGCTTGATAGAGTTGATGTATGGGATGTTATAAGAGCAGTAAGAGACCCCGATAAGATGATTTTTTTTTTTATTAAAAGAAAGAAAGAAAACACAGGGAGCACAGGTCTACCTGAACACACCTGAGGTCCGGGTGCCTCAAGTCAACTAGATGGTAACTGGTTAACTGGGGTCTGGACTGGATTTGTCCCAGACCCGAGATGCCCAAAAGACGCGGGGAAAAAAAGGGACCTGTCTTATCCACGTTTCCCATTTTCTGCTCTGGCCATTGGCTCAGTTTAACCGATGGCAGTCTCCTTTGCATCTGGTTGTAGCTTGGCTCAGGAACTAAGGAGTTCTGTGCAAATTCCTCCAAAGTCTCCTTTTAAGCCTCGGGGTAACTGCTTCATTGGTCTTTTCTTTGCCTGCCCCCACTCTGCCTCCTTTTCTGCAGGGAACGCATTTGCTCAGATCATTCTTTAACAAACCCTTCATGTTCTTATTGGATGGGCGTGTTCAGTATGGAAGCCACTGGCCACGGCTGTTGTGAATGAAGGCGTGTTGAAGCCACAGCAGCTTCCGGAGCGGGGCCGCAGGGATTCGAAGCCACAACAGATGTCTTAGGACTGGTGCCCTTCAGTCCCAGGCCCATGACAATTGCTTAACCAATGTCCATGGAAACAGAACAGGGCAGGGGTTTTCGAACTTTGGGATGAGTAGAAAGACGAGCCTTGGGTGCTTGTTAAACTGCAGATTCCTGGGTTCTTCTCTCAGGGATTATGATTCCGGCCGGGCCTGGGAGAGTCCAGAAACTCACAGCTTAACAAGAGCCCTCGATGGTTCTGGTGCAAGTGGTCAGCAGTTGGAGACAGCCCCCCCCCCCCCAGGGGGTCACGGGGGGAACAGCCGCACTTCTCCCCAGCAGCCCACACCTAAGGCTGACTTTGATCTCACAAAGCACAAGCCAGGAAGACCACTTGCTCCCGTGTTTTTAGCCCAAGACGAATGCTCTCTGGTTAAGGAAAGCCAAGTGAAAACCAATGTCTGCTTTTCTTTCTAGGAGAAAGAGCAGAATGCGGCACCACCAGGTAAGCACCGGGCAGTCTTCTGCCGTGGGGGGTGGGGGGTGGGGGTGCGGTGTGGAGGAAAGCTGGGGAGAGGTGGGAAGACAAGACCGAAGCTCAGAGGAACTAGGGTGTTCTCGGAGGGGACATGACAGTCCCTACAGGACGGTGTAGGTGTGCTGAGAGACAGGGCCCGAGGCAGTTTAACTGCTATGCTTATTGTAGGCTTAGTCTGGCACAGCCTTGGCCCTTCTGGGCCTATGATGGGGGTGAGGAGAGCTGGTGGGGTGGGGGTGGGGCGTTTCCCCTTGGGCTCTCCCTGGCATGGGAGTGGTGGAGGGCAACCAGCAGAGGCCAGAGGGTAGGAGGGCGGGGGGCGGCGGCTGTTGACCTTTCTTCCCATCTGTCACGTGGCTGTTTAGCAAACTGCCCAGCCTGGACTGGGGGTCCAGCCTACAGCACCCAGACAGATCTAGCCAAGGCTCTGGGTGGGGCTTTTGCTGCACAGGTCTGGGCTTATGCATGTGCCTGTCGACCCAAGCGTGCACCCACACCTCGACTGCCGCACCTGGCTTGGAACCTCACAGGCACCCCCTGCCCTCCACCCCTGCCAGGCAGGCAGCACACAGGCACATCCTACTTCCTCTCAGGCTTGCTCAACACTACCCTCCGCGCTTGGCCCTCAGCCCTCAGCAGACCAGAGCCAATGAACACTTTCAGTGCCTGCAGCTGGCCTCTCCCCAGGCTAGTCCATTTCTCAGTGGCCAGCCATTGGACACAAACAAGACCTTCTCCTCTGCTCCATGCCCTCAGCCGGCGGCCCCCAGACCTGCGTGATTCTGCCACCGGCCATTGAGGGCCATTGGTACCTCATTTTCTGGACCCAGTGACCCCAAGAGCAACTTTCCACACAAATTCTTCCCAGCTGCCCAGAATCCTGGAAAGTTGCTGTATTTGGCCCGGGGATGACGAGTCTCAGCTCTCTCCTACTGCTCCTGCGGGGACTTGGCTGCAGAGATAGACGTTCAGTCAGTACAGCTATTCCTCTGGGCCTCCGCCATTTGGGGAACACCAGGGTGACTCCTCAGGTCAGGCCAAGGACCTTCCAACACAGGTGTCAGCAGATGTGCAGGGTCCTTTCTAAAAACCTCTGCAAAACAAGCCCCTTGTTTTGGCTCTAGCAAGAGCATGCCGTGCTAGACCCAGAACAACAGAGGCCGCACGTTACACCAAAGTCCGCACCGAGTGAAACGAGCCGTCCCCAGCTTCCACCTCCTTCCTAGCATCCAAGGGGGTGGGGTGGGGTGGGGGGGAGATTGTTCCCGCAGATTTCAGAAGAGGCTCTCTGCGATCTGGCTCTGGGTCAGGTCTCAGGGCCACCTCAGATCTCTGAGGTGTTGTCTTCCACGCCTGCTGTAACCAAGGGCCTGGGAAAGCCAAGCTAGGATCATCAGACCTCCCACTGCAATAAAGTGTAAGCCCAGCTGTCTGCCCTCTGCTCCCTGAACGAGGTCAAGTGATTTCCAAACTCACTTCCTTGTTGGGGACTCCTTGGCAACTTAGAGGAAAATGGCTCTTGGTGACTTCCATGGTTTCCTACATGTGGTCAGTGCCATTTCATATGAGCATTGCCACAAGTCGCCCCAGCCAAGCCCTGGTGGTCTCTTGTTGATGGACTCACATTTTGGCACGTTGCCTGCGACTCCTTTTTTCCTCCCATTTAGGACAGCCCGGTTTCCTAACAACCACCCAGTGTCGGCTGTTCAGATGAGCCTCTTCACTTGGAAAACATACTTATTGTTATTGGCAACCCAAACCCCTGCCTCTGAGTCAATTCTGACTCTAGTGCGCCATTGCCTATTGAACTGAACGGAACCGTCCCTCTGGGTTTCTGAGGCTGTCAATCTTTACAGAAGCCAACTGCCCCATCTCGACCCCTTGGGGCACCTGGTTGATTCACATGGCTGACCTTTCCGTTAGCAGCCCAAGGCCTAACCCACAGGACTACTGGGGAGCCTTCATGAACACCAAAGCAAGATGCAAACGGAGGGTCTGACCTTCACTATTATCTACACGGCTTCCCTAAGTGGTCCCTGTCTTATGGGTTAGAGGTGGGATCACTCCTTCGAGAGCCCATGGTCAAGTCCACGCAAGCACATGCACGCACAAGCAGACCCTCCCCACCAGCCTAACTGCCACAGAAACGTCATATTGCCACCACCTCGGACATTGGCACCCATGGGATAACACCCACCTGGGTGGTCTTGGACATGTTTTAACTTCCATCCTTTGAGGCACAGACTAATTTTGAGGCCAATGCCCACGGTGCTGGGCTATGTTCACTGGACTCGTGGTTGAAGGGCAGAAAGGGGACATTGGTCTCTGGTTTCTCTTCCTCTCTCTGGCTCTCTCAGTTCTTGTTTGCCCTGCCTCTATTTCTCTTTCTCTCTCTCTTTCCCTTTCGCTCTGCAACTGAGCAGCAGAAGAGATGGAAGGCTTAGGCCACCCCACTTCCCCTGGCTGGGCTGCTCCCCTGCTCCCCACTTTGTGCCCCACCCAGCACTTCAGTAAGTCTGGCTCTGTTTGATGTTGTGCAGTCGGGATAGCTACGTCTCTGTGTCAGAGCTACCAGTCTGGGCCCACACAGAGAAAGGACACCCACTTCGATTCAACCGTCATTGACTTTTCAGTTTGGGCCAGAGAAATGTAGGGGGAATATGGCCGTATATATGTGTGTGTGTCTGTGTAGAAGATACACACACACACACACACACACACACACACACACACACACACATATATATATATCTTCTTTTCCTTTTATTACAGTTTGTGAGATTAAAAAATAAAGAAAACGGCCTGAGGACTTCTTTAAGAAATCCTCCTGGTAGATGCCTCAGATTTTTAATAGCGGTGTTTGACACCGGATGACGAGTGTTCCCTCCCATACTCTTCCACGAGAGTGTGAAATGGGATTTCCAGCGCCCGCTGGGCACTCTGTGACAAAATCGCCTTTCCAAACTGTACCCTCTCACGGAGCTGAGTCCTCACCCTCACTGAAGGTGTGCGACCTTGAGCAAGGCTCTTCCGTGCTGATGGGCTCATTTGCCTGAGGTGCAAGATGCTTGCTTGTTGTGAGGGTCTCATGACACCTGGGAGAAGGGACACCGAACGCAGAACCCCCAGACGCTGTGGGAAGTAGGTGTGGGTGCTTGCTCTCCTCAAGCTGCACCCAATCCTTGGGACCCATGGCCTTGTGTCTGCTTTTTGACTGATGGGTTTGGAAATTCAAAAGCAGATTGAGTATAAGGAGTGCTGCCCCACATATACACATCTTCCAAAACTAAGTAACTTGTGAAAAAGAAAGGACTGACATGGACTTAGCTAACCAAGTTGACATAGGTCTAAGCTGGGCCCAAGTCAACTTGCCTGTTGTTTCTTGTAAAAATGTTTGCGTTTTTTTTTTAATATTAAAAGTCTTGTACCTCCTCTGTGTAAAACAGAGCCCCTTGATCTGGGCTGTTATTGGGGCTCTGTTTAGGTGGCATGCAATTTGAAATCGGTTTTGTCTTTGCCCGTGCATGCCCTGGAGCTAGCAGCATTTGCTCAGCACTCAGACACCTACTAGAAGTTGGCTGGCATTCCCTAGCTGGGCTGGGCTACGTACCTAGGCAAACCCAGTAGGCAGAGGCAGGGGTGAAACCTCACTCACCTGGATTGGCTGGAAAGTCTACAAAACTTCGTGTCCATTCATGGAAGCCAATGAAGCCAGTCTTCCTGGTGAGACATAGCACATGTGAGCCTTCGGTGTGCCAGGCCACATCCACTGTTGCTCTCCCAATTTTGAAACAAGCCCCCCTGACATGAACTGCCTCTCGGGGTGAGGGAGCCTCCTCCTCATCTTAGAAAAAAACCCTGGCAGCTTGAGTCAGGCCAACTTGGGTGACGAAAGGTGAGCAAAGAAGCCAGCACAGGTGTATGCATGGTAAGCCACCCTGGTGTACGTGGTGGTTTTTCTGTCCCTAGTGAACTGTTGTGTGGTTTCCCCAACTCCCTGTGGCTAAGCGTGGGACTCGGGGAATGGATCCGAAAGTAAAGCAAGACACTTTCAACCTGACTGTGGCCAGAGTTCATGGGATGGGTCCTTTGCTAAGAGTGCAAACGTTCTTTCAGCATCCATGACTGTGGCCTGGTGGGCAGGGCACTTGGAGCCCAATAGCCTAGACTTTGGGGTCCTGGTTCTGTCAGTACGCCTCTCAGAGCCTCAGTTTCTGCTTCTGTGAAGTGGGACCTCTAGGAATCCCAGGGTACAGATTGAAGTCCCGTATGATGTGATAATGGGTCTGAATGGACTTTAAAGGGAAGCATTCTTCACAGAGAGCAAGATCACCATTTTCTTCTGGATCACCCAGGAGCCCCAAAGAAGCTGCAGCCTCCCTCTTGGCATCAGTTTCTTCATCTCTAAAGTGAGAAGACTAATTGCCCAGCCCTTAGATCGAAGGAATAAAGATCAGTCAAGTGCATTTGAAATGCCAAGAGGTCTTAGGAACATCAGTGCCCTGGTATATTGAGAGCCTTGGGATGCATTTAAGCCCAACTAATGAGAGCTGACCCTCTCACCTTTGAAAGTCTCTTGCTTTCTCAGGCTCTATAGATCGATTATCCACCTCTCCACCGATTCCCCCTTCATCCGGTTGGCTTTGCAGGCTGAGCGCCTCTGATTGGATTTTCAGGGCTTCTTGGACACACATTATGTCCTCGCTGTGATTTCCTTGTTTCACCTCCTGGGTAAATGGCGACGCCCTTGCCATTCAGAGGCCTGCAGACGGAGCGTTGGCTGCCAACGTGCTGGGGGCTCGGGGCTGCCGTTGACTTTTTGTGTTGTTTTCCAGGCACAGGGTTTAAGAGCATCTTTCCCAGTTGTATGTTTATGTTGGTTGTTTTCTTTTTTCTTTTGTTCCATTTCCTCCTCCTAGGCCCCCCAGCCTCCCCCCTAAACCACAGAAAATGAGGAGACCTAGGCCTCTCTCAGTGTATAGCCATAAACTCTTTAATGGCAGTATGGAAGCGTTCATTAAGGTACTTGCTGCGGAGCCATAGAGTCCGCGAATGCACCCAATGTAATGGCAGCTGCTCTCCACCCAAATCCTCTCGGGTCGCAGCCCTGGCCTGGCATGGGATTGATCCTCCCTCCCTGTGCACCCAAAGCAAGCCATTTCCTGTGCTAAACTTCAGGGAGCTTAAGTCTGCCATTGGGGTCACAGTCCAAACTTTGGGAGGCACAGTGAGGTGGGGGAGGGAGTGTGATTGCAAACAGCACTGAGAACGACCCTGTGGGGAACAGTGTGCTTTTAGGCAAGCGCTTTTTTTTTTAAGTGGCAGCAAAGAAAATGCTTCACTTTGTTACGAGAGAAAATGCCCATCTCACTTTGCCTGTAGGTTCAGTGATTCCTTGGAAGGGAGAGAAGTTAAGGCCCTTTCTTTAGAAGTTCAGCTTAACCCTGTACACCTGACACTGAAAGTAAAGGAGCTTCGCCTAGTGCCGTTGCATCCTTTGGCTCTTAAATCTCTTCACCAAAAAACAAAGAACAAAACAAGCACACACTGCCATCAAGTTCATTCGGACTCATGGTAATCTCATGGGACATGGTGAGCTCAGAAACCTCTTTGGGTTTCTGAGAGTTTACATCTTTATGGGAGCAGACAGCCTCATCCTTCTCCCAAGGAGCGGCTGGTGGATTTGAACCACTGACCTTGTGGTTGGCAGCTCAATGCATTCATAGCCCATTATGCCATGGGGCTCCTTACCTTCATGCTAACAGAACACAAATAAAGCCATCCCAGAGCTCCTGGCTCAAGGGTGAAGTAAGATGGCAATGGAGTTGCAAAACAAACAAACAAACAAACAAAAAGACATAAGATGGAGGAGTGGGAAGAAGGGAAGATGCCTTCTAAACAGCACTTGGAGGAACTCCCCTCCCCGTGTTTGAGAGTCTGCTACCAATGAGTGAGGCTGCCTCGTACAGAAGACGAGACCGAGCTCTATCTGGAGAAGTCCATGTAAAGACCCTGGGGTTTGCCGATGTGTGGTGTCAGCAGCCCTGCTCGAGTTCTGCCGCAGATCGTACACAGCACTGAACATTCTAGAAAAGAGACTTGATACTGGTTCTGTCTCAAGGATAGACAAGCCCCCCCCCCCATGGTCTCTGCCTGGGGTGGGAAGGCGAGGGGGAAGAGAAGATGGAGCTATAGATGAGCGTCAGTTGAGGTTGCCTGGGGCCAAGAACTTCAAGTCGTTTGACGCTACCAGGATTCCTGCCTACAAGGAAGGGTCTCTTGATCAGGAAAGAGAAGATCTGCTTCCCAAGGGAGCAGGCCATATCCAGGAGGGTCATGGAAGGATGAGGCTGGGTAAAGAACCCTTTCTTCACCCACCCCCACAGCCCCGCCTTCCCTCTCTCTCCTCGAAGACTGGCTTCTCATTCACCTTTGCACCCCAACCGGCCATTCTCCAAAGCTCAGAGGGGACGAGGAGATCTGACCCATTACTTCGGGGCCCGTCAGGAGTTTATATGCAGCTTGGAAGGTTTTAACCACAGACCACCGGAATTATTAGGTGAGTCCAGACGCGTACTTGGTGAATTTTCTATACAGAACAACTTCCGGGAGAGTTAAGAGCTGGAAGAGATCCTGAGCCTGAGAAGACAAAAGGCGTCGTATGGGGCTTTGAAGGCAGGGAAGGAATAAAGAAGAGAGTCGGCAGAGGAAGTCCTAGAAGGAAGGACGGCTCAGAGACAAGGGCACTTCCCATCACAACCCGTTCCTTGGAAATGGGGGGATCGGTCAGCAAACAGCTGGCTCTTCCCTGACCAGCTTGGAGAATGAGGCGTCCCATCTCGACACTCTCTTAATAGGAAGAGGCTAATAGGAAGAGGCTATAAATAACAGTGACAACACAGTCACGTGACTTTGTTCCTGCTGATAAACACACCAGGACTTGTGCCACCGTGGGACTAGCAAAATTATTGGAATAAGTCCACAGCCTCCTAGGGGGGGACCCGACCACTTAGAAGACTTCGTGCCGTGCCTCTCTGAGCGCAGAAGACACGGTGTGTTGAACACTGTTGTGTTTCCTTATGCACACTCTTCTCACTTATCAACATGGTTAGGGTTCAAAGGTCAGTCGTTCCATGAAAATGGAGGCTGACTGCTCCAGATCCCAAAATGCAGGATGGCATCGTGGGTACACATTGGGCTGCTAGCTGCATGGGCAGCAGTTCAAAACCACTCCCTGCTCCTCAGGAAAGAGGTGGGACTTTTTACTCCTGTAGACAATTACAGGCTCAGAAACTCATAGGGACATCCTACCCTGTCCTATAGGATCGCTGTCAGTTGGTATTCACTCTATGACAGTGAGTTTGGTTTGGGTTTTATATCACTAAAGAATTGCAAAAGTACACCATTACCACGATATCACATAGACAGCCATGGAACTGCCAACTGATGTTGCCACATAACTGCCAAGCCTCTGATCATCACGACCCAGGGAAGGGACATATAACTTGACCCCTGACAGCTAGTGTTACTCTCCCTTCCTACCTTGGCCTTCATTCCTGCCAGGCAGCTGTTGTTCATGTACAGAGGAATTAGAGAGTAGATTTTTTTACTCTTGTGGTCAGTGTGCAATGTGGAACAGTGAGGTAGTGGATACGTGGGCAGGGGGTGTGGTCACACTGTACTTAAGCCACATGTGACCAGGGCAGCTCCTCAGACTCAGACTGCACGCCTGCTAGGAGCTGGGCCATGGGTGACAAAATGGGACACGGTGTGGCTCTTCCTTGAAAAGGCACTTGAGGAGCTTACAGCTCTTGTGCCCGGCACTCCAATGTGCAGTCTGGGAGGCTGCCCGTATGAACTGAGAGTCACCAGCTTTGAAATGTCACACCTGTGAAACATTTCCCCTAAAACAACATCCCTGGGACTCCGGGATTAAGGTGTCCAACGGGGATAGAGAAGCACCCTCAAGTTCAAAAAGATGGATAAATGTGAGTTTTAAAAACTATTACCCTACATTGAATTGATTCCATTTAAAACCCTAGCTTTTCCCCTCCTATCAGGAGGAAGAACCCCATTTTTTCAAATTATACCAACACATTTTGAAACCTAGGAGGTAGACCTGGGGGGTGGGGGCGGGACAAAGAGAATCCCCGCCTTGCTTCTATAAAACAAGAATCATGATGACCCACCTTTTGAGTTGGTCGGAATTAAGGGAGTTGATATAAGTCAGGTTTCTGTAGCCCATTGGTTCTCAACCTTCCTTTAATACAGTTCCCCATGTTATGGTGACCCCCACCCCAACCATAAAATTATTTTCATTGCTGCTTCATAACTGTAATTTTGCTACTGTTATGAATCAGGCAACCCCTGTGAAAGGGTTGTTCAACCCCCAAAGGGGTCCGACCCACATTGCAAATGCCATGAAAGTATTGGCTATTGTTTTTTTAATTCTATTTATTTATTTTTGGGGACTATTGTTGTTTAGTGTCATTAACTTTTAGGAAACTGCTCCAGGAGCTCCTTTTGATGAGGCTGTGGTTTCCATTGTAGGGTTCAGGTAGACGTAGCCAAGATGTGGGCTGGCAGATGATTCTAGTGATTGTGGCGCCCGGGACAAAACGACATCACTAGAGGACACATATCCTCCAGTTCCTTAGCTGGGCGCTCCCGAGGAGGCTGGATGAAGCATAGTATCCGTGCCTCTGCACGCACGGAGGTGGGGGAAAGAGCAGACAGGATCCTCCCCATCCTAGAAAGCAGGCTCCACCCAGAGAGGTGTATTTCTCTCCCTTTTTTCACGTAGCCGGGTTTTCCTTAGGCATCTCAGGTCCTTGGGTAGCTTCTTGCCCATTCGTGGACAGACAGCCCAGTGTGTTGAAGGGAAGCTAGCTATGGGATGAGGGAGGGTCCCAGTACACACGCTTCCCATGCTGGTCCCCTGGTGTCCTGGGAGGGAGGCCCCGGCAGCCAGACTAGAAGGCCAGCCAGAGGCCAGTCTGATCACCATGAGTCACTGAGGCGGGGTGGCCCTCCCTGCAAGCAGGCTATTTGGCGGAATCCCCAGGACTTTGGTGGCTGCCCTTGCATTTTGGCGTTCACGGACTCTGAAGGATCTGCTTACTCCAACTGATCTTATTCCTGCGTGATCTTTTCTTTCTCTCCTGCTCTGCTGCCTGTTTATGTTTTGTTATCAGAGGAAGAAGAAATGCTCGAACCAGGAACCAGGTATTTACTAGAAAGGCCCATTATCCCCGTTCCGTTGGGTGGAATCTGCCCCGAGTGCTGATTTCCAGAAGAGCCCACCTTGCCTGTGACCAAACGGGTCCATATTCCCATCCTGTTCCTGGTCTTGGTTAACCAAGGTGTAGAGGAACCAAGCAAACATGCGAACTGATGGTTTTCTCTGCCCCTTTCTAGCACGAGCTGCATATGCTCCGTGGTTTCCTTACCTCCTGTTAGGCTGGCCTGTCCAGAGAAACAGAACCAGAGACACACATTTGTGCATGAGAAAGAACTTTATATCAAGAAGCAATTTTTTAACAAAGTCAGTTTATATATTGGTATAAAATTTATATCAATAAAGCCTCTCAGCCCAGTCTTCCCTTCTTAGAGTTCAAAGGCCCCTAAGAGCCAGCGTTACCACCACCCTCCGCCTCCCAAGGGTGTTCTCAAGCTTGGCATTAAACACCGAAGTGATAGGATGAAGTCTTGGTTCTGTCGTGTTATGCACCATCCCCAAGAACAGTGTTGGACTGGGCCAGTGGAGTGGGAGAACAAGAATTCTTAAAGACCAGACTTACCAACTCCCTCCAAAGAGCCAAGTAAGCCCCACCACATGGAGGGCCCCTCTCCCCTGCCCCAGCTCCACCTGTTAAGCCTCCTAGCCCCAGATCCTTCCCAGCTGGAGACAAGACAGAGCATTCGTTAACGTGATCAAAGCAATGCCTATCTATGTAGATGACCGATGACTTTCTATTTCGATTGCTCACGGAAACGTTTCGATTAGCAGTTCCTTGCTTGTTTTCCTACTAACACGATGATACTAATATTCTGGCTTGAGTTTACAATCTGTATTTGAGATGTCTTTTTCCTGCGGTGGTTTCCAGACCCAATAAAATGCACAATTTCCCTCCCCCCCACCCCCACCCCAAGGACTCAGGACAAGCTATACCACTTGTGGTTGAGAGCTGCATCCGGTACATCAATTTATACGGTAAGTTTGCTCGTGAGGGGCCACGGTCGTGTTTTCACCTCCCTCCAGAATGAAGCCAAGCTGGAAAAAGCGAGATTCTGATGCTCCGTGGGCGGCCCTCTGACTGCCTCCTCTTCCAAGAGGGGAGCGTGCCACGTGGGGCGGCTGCTATCCTGCTACTGTCTCTAGAGCCTCAGTGTGTCCAGAGGAGAATGAAGTGAGAGGAGGGGGTGAGAAGCCCACTAAGTTGGGAAACTGAGGCAGTGGGCATATAACTTTCACATCCACTTGTACGTTCCTCTAACTGAGTCCATGACAGGCACCGTTTAGACACTGATCGACAAGCGTGTACAAAACAGCTAAGATGCATGCACCGGAGAGGGGACATTCTCAATGAGAAGGAGACAGAAATGAGCAAGCAGACAACTACGTGGTGTCATTTCAGGTCATCCTGGTGCCCTGAAGATAATTATAGGGGACAAAGAATGGTTGGGAGGGGGTGGGACTGCTGTGGCTCCGGTGGTAAGGAGAGGCCTCTCTGAAAGGGTGACAGTTGACCTAAAGCTTGAGGGGGGAGAGGGCACCTGCTGGGCAGTGGAGGTGTATAAAGAACGGCCCATGCTCAGGCCTAAGATGGGGAACAGGCCAGTGTGGCTGGATGGTCATGAGCCAGCAGGATGGGCTCAGAGTCACAAGTCGCAGCAGCTCAAGAATAAGACAAGCACTTGTTGAGAGCACACTAGATCTAAACCAAGGTTGGACTACGAATCCCCAGTTACCATCACGCGGCCCCCACTCATGGCATCTGAGCCGTTTGTACGTCACAGCCGAAGCCATCCGCACTGGCTTTGACTGGAAGCCCGGCCCTTGGAGGCCTCTCTCAAAGGACGGGGAGAAAGAGAAAGGAGGGGGTGGGGGGGGGTGTTACTCTTAATTCCAGTGGCCCGATAAGCTTAAGAGCCTCACGGCGTTTCCGTTTGTTCTCAGGACTCCAGCAGCAAGGGATCTTCAGAGTGCCGGGGTCTCAGGTGGAAGTCAATGACATTAAAAATTCCTTTGAGAGAGGTAGGTGCCGAGTGTTCATCTCAAGTTTGTGGCCAAGGGAGGCCAAGGTTGCTGTGAGCCCTTGCCGAGGGCCAGTGATGTGCTGGAGCTGACTTATGTTTCCCACATGAGCATCAGTGACTTGATATTGGTGATTTGAAATCACACCCTGTGGGAGCGTTTACACCCCAGAAATTGGCCGATGCTAAAACCTTGTTTTCCCCTCTGGAATGCCGTTCGATATCTACCAGCACACCACTACTCAGGTGTGAGTTTAACCCGGGCTCCTACGGTGGTTGCTGGAAAACTGGGTCTGGTACAGAACTTTGGAATCTCTAGGTGAGTCTGCGAAGGATGCTGTGTTTTAGAAAAGTTGGAAGACTATGGATAATACAAGATGGTTCTTGTTGTTGGGAGGTATCGCCTGTAGGTTTTGACCCAGAGCTGCCCTGTGGACAACAGAAGGAAACACTGCCTGGCCCTTGAGCATCCTCACGAGTGTGGCTGTGTCTGAGCGCGTTGGTGCAGTCTCTGTGTCCACCCGTGGGACTGAGTCACCGTATCCGTGGTGCTCTTCTTTACTGGCCTTCTACTTACTTAACCAGGCATGGTGTCCTTCCCTGGGGACTGGTTCCTCCTGATAGTCTAAAGTACAAGAGATGAAGTTTCATTGTCCTCAGTTCTCTGTTCTGTTTGTACTTCTTCCAAGATGATTTGTTTATTCTTCTAGCCAAACCAAACTCAAAACCACTACCATTGAACCATTTCTGACCCTAACTAGGATTTCCAAGCTTTGCACATGTTTACTGAGCATACAGCCTCATAATTCTCCCGAGGAGCAGTTGGTGGGTTTGAACCACTGACCTTTTGGTTAGCAGGTACAATACTTACCCAACGGCACCACAAGGGCTTCTTAGTGTTCTTAGTCAACACCATACTGTAGAGCAGTGGTTCTCAACTGTCCTAATGCTGTGATCCTTTAATACAGTTCCTCATGTGGTGGTGACCCCACAACGATAAAATTATTTCCGTTGCTGCTTCATCACTGTCATTTTGCTACTGTGATGAATCAGGCGACCCCTGTGAAAGGGTCATTCAGCCCCCAAAGGAGTCACGACCCACAGGTTGAGAACCACTGCTTTCAAGGCCTCCGTTCTTGTCTCATCCTTCTCCCCTGTTCTGCTGTGACATGGAGATGAAGGGACTCGGAGCAGCCTGGCTTGAGTCAGGAGCGCCTTTAGCCCTCAAAGGGTCATCTTTTGGTTATTATTTTTTAAAGAAGTCGTTTGCAGCATATTGCCCATGCATACAGCATTTGATTCCTTGATTGCGACGTCCATAGACATTGAGTGTGAATCCAATCAAAAGGCAATCCTTAACAACTTCCAGTCTTTTCTCTGTTCATCATGAGAGCAAGAGATGCTGTTCTCTCCGCCCCCATGAGCATCCCTAATGAAGAGTTCTGTCTCATCTCCCACTGGACCCTCCAGCCCAGAGCTTTGTTTCTTCATTCCCTCCAACTCCTGAACAGCCCTGTTCGCCTGTGTTCCTGGTAAATAAAAGGAGCCATGGTCTGGAACCGGTACTGGTTCCACCCCTGGGCTCATCACTCCCTCACCTAGGACTCTCTGTGGCCTGCCTGGATCTCATGGGCACCTGCACCACATGGGCTTCCAGCTCTCAGCATCTCCCTGTTGTACAAATGTCCCACTGGAGGAGGCGGCCAGCCCCCTCCCCACCTGCACAGTGCTGCTTTCCTTCCCTCTTGGATGTGATTCCTGAAGGCCAGCCCCTCCTGGCACTTGCGTGGGTGCCTTGCAGGGGCGATGTGCAATGTCCATGGCTTCTCACTTCCTAGCAAGACTTGGCTCACCCCTGAGACACCCAGCAGGGCAGAGATGGGCTGACCCAAATGCTCGGTCACAACACATAGTTTCTATTTCTTCCGTGCCTTGAGTATGCAGTTGGACCCTCTCTCTCGCATCAGCTCAATGTGAATCTCGTTTTCTCACCGGCCTTGTTCTCCGGCCTCACCTGAGCCTATAGTGCCGGTGTCTTCCTCGGGAAAGATAAATCCTGATCTGTCTCCCTTAGGAAAACCCAGAAAGCTTGGAAATGACCTCCAAGCTTTCTGCCATACTTGGAATTTAAAAGTAGGCTCCTCCAACCCTTTAAGCACACACTGTGCTTTGTATGTCATTGTTCACACATTGGGTATGTCACTGCAGTGCCACTGAATCAGCTCCAACTCATGGCGACTCTAAGGACAGAATGAAATGCTACCCAGTTCTATGCCATCCTCACACGGTGGCCAGCACGTAGAACGTCTTCTAACTTTGGGGGCTCATTGTCCAACACTGGAGTAGGCGATGTTTGATTGTGATTATAGGGTTTTCACTGGCTAATTTTGGGAAGTAGGTGCTTAGATTTCCCTTCTAGTCTGTCTTAGTCCAGAAGCTGATCTGGAACCTGTTCACTACGGGAGACCCTGCTAATAATGGATACACTGGTCTCCAGCATCATCGTAACACAGCCACCGCTGCGATATGGCAAACTGATTGATGATGATAAGGCAGTAGTCCCATGCTGTATAAAGTCCTTGAGAATCCAAGTGATCTAAGCATTGGCTGTGGGCAAGGCTGTTGGATGACAATTCTACCTTCCCCAGAATATCAGAACAATGACTAAGAAAGACTGAAGAATAATTAATGCATTTGAGTGATGGTGTTGGTGAAAATCTTGAATATATCATGGATGAACAATACCGTCTTGGAAGAAGTACAGCCAGAATGCTCCTTAGAAACAAGGATGGCAAGACTTTGTCTCCTGTTCCTTAGGCATGTGATTACCAGGGCCCAGTCCCTAGAAAAGCACCCTGTGCTTGGTAAAGGGTCAGTGGACGGAGGAAGGCCTTTAATGCCACGACACAGCAACTGCTGCAGTGACCCAAGCATGACCGAAACGATGAACACGGCTCCAGATGGGCAGTGCTTGGCTGCTTTCTATGTAGCGTGTCTATGGGCTCATCCCAACTCAACGCAACCACCACAGCGTGGTACACAGCAATGTATCACACCCTGCTCGCCCACCTACCTGCAGTGGTTCTCTTTCATTCTCTTCCTGGAAAAAGCTATCATCCACGCAAACCTTTCTCCTCGCCGTAAACTCTGGCATTGCCTTCAGTCCTGGAGCCCAAATTTGGATGCTTCTTTACGGACTAAGTGCCTTCTGAGAGTAAGGGCAGGAAAAAAGCCAGGTGTCTCTATGTGTGTTGTGACTGTTAAGTTGGCTCTGACTCGTGGCAACTTTCTGTAAACAGAACAAAGCGTCGCCCGGTCCTGTGCCATGTTTAAACCAAGAAACTCCCTACCATGCACTCGATGCCACCTCAGAGCAGCCCTATAGGAGGGGAGAACTGTCCCTGCCTGCGGGTTTCCGAGCCGGTTCCTCTTTACAGGAGTAGAAAGCCCCATCTTTTTCCCTGCGGGGACTGGTGAACCATAGCTGTGTTTTTGCCCATTGCTTTGGCCACCATGCCAGTCTCCCTAAAAGGCTCCCTCGACTTTTTCTGTTCTCCATTTGACGGGCTTTCTGTTGCTGTAACGTGTTGCAGTCTCGGAAACGCACGGGGCAGTTCTAGCCTGTCCTACGGGGTCGCTAGGTGTTGACATGAACTCAATGACAGTGAATAAGAGACAGTCAAAAATTTTAGGCTGTCTTATGCACATTTGCCCAGTGCAGTAAGTTGATTGATCATTAATTGGTGTTTCGAGTAGAATTAGCTCAATGACAACCTCAATTTCTTTTTCATTTATCATGATGTGTTTATTGGAATATGTGTGTGTGTGTGTGTGTGTGTGTGTGTGTGTGTGTATAATCTGTTCATCCTGCTTAACAAGGGGGCTCATAAGCAATGGGATTTTTTATATTTTAAAACTCAACATGCCTTTGTGGTATCATTTGAGAGACAATCTGGTATATGTTCCCTTCCAAAACTCACTGCCATTGCATTAAGTCCGTCATAACCACCCTGTAGCACAGGACGAACAAGCCCTGTGGGTTGCTAAAACTGTGACTGTTCACTGAGGATGGAAAGCCTCATCTTTCCCCGATGGACTGCCTGGTGGTTTCTAACTGCTGACCTTAAGATCAGCAGTCAACTCTATGCCCACGAGAGTATTCAAGCTCTTTAGGGGCCCCCAGAGTATCTCCAGGGCTGAGGGAGAGAGGGGGACTGAGAAGATAGGGCTTAGACTTCACCCTTCCCCACCCATTCAGTTCAGATGGCCTTATTGTAATGTCTTGAAAACTTATTTTCTTAAAAAGGAAAGTTGAGACTTTGCTGTAAAAGAAGGAAGTGGGAAAATAGATAGATAGCAGGTAGACAGATAGATAGCAGACAGATTGGAAAGCCTACAAATTACAGAAAGAGTGACTCTCAACAAGAGGAGACCTGGGACTGCGGGCCTGTCTGACTGTGTGAGTGTCGGACAAAGCTCTGGAAGAAGCGCAGGCGCGGGAGGTCTGCCGAGCAACTGTACGAGGGCTGTGTGAGTACGGACACTTTTCAGGGGGGGGTACGTTTTCTCTCTCCTTTTTCCACCAAGAAGTCTTATGGGGAAAGATTCTCCCCCAAGGGATCCACCAGTCTATAGAGAGAGCATCCAAGTATTCCTATTCCCTAGCCAAGGCCTTTGTGCACTTTGGCTCCAGACCTGAATGTTAACTCCAGAGCTCAGAATGAGGGGCGTGGTTTGCGTGGGTAGCAGCTTGCTGGTCCTCTGGAGGCAGAATGCAGTGGTGAGTGCGACCCTGGGGTGTTGCTCTTCCCTGGTTGCGGGTGTGAGAGGTGATGTTTGGGCTGTAACGGAGGAATCCATTGTTGGGATGTCTCTCAACACCCCCAGGAAGGCGTCAGATTGCTCCCTGCCCTCCTCTCCTCCCCATGGGAAACTCGCTCAGCCACCCTGGGTAAACTGGAAACATGCTACTCCCTCAGATTCCATCCTGCCCTACTCAATGGCCAACAAGTCCAGAGAAAGATGAAGCACATCCCACGGGCAGACCGACCGATGGTAAAAACCTGCATTCCCAAGGGCAGGTGGCTGGTGAATAGCTGGTGAAACAACATAGGATGTTATCCTTCAGCCTTGCACAAGAAAGGACCATCGGAAAATCCCTGTTTTGCAACCCCCTGAGTTATCACGGATGTAGGCAAAGGTCACCGTGAGGGCTTCCACTGAGGACAGTGGCACGCCTGTGTCACCACTGATCATTTGTGGATGGCAGAGGAGGGAGCGCGTCTTTCCAGCGGAGAGGCCTGATAGTAGCTCCTCCACCAGAGAAGGAACGTCTGCAGGGCGGCCGGACTTTGTGTGGCTCCTGAGAAGATGCACTAAGGTACCCATCAACCCCGCCCCTAGACTCTTGTTCATGAAAACCTTTAACCTGACGCTGACCACGAGGAAAGACACAAGCAGACAAACGCAGAGAGGGGTGCACTCTGCAAGGGAACTGGCTCTGAGGCTCAACACGATCTCTGAAATAACAACAGATTTCTTTCAAGTTTGTAAAATGGTCCTTTCCACCCTGAAAGGACTAAGGAGCTGTGTGAAGAGTGGTGAGGTCTTAGTGTGTGCTTATCATCTAAAACCAAGTCCCCACAGAGACCATGTGAACTCTGTATGACGTGACACTTGGAACTACTCTTCATTTTCATGGGAGCCTTCGTGGTAGAGTGGGCTATGCACTGAGCTGCTAACTACAAGGTCCACAGTTCAAACCCACCAGCTGCTCCTCAGGAGGAAGGTGAGGCTGTCTACTCCTGTGAAGATTTAAAGTCTTAAAAACCCACAGGGGCAGGGCTGCCGGGTCTTAGAGGATGGGTATGAATTGGGACCGACTGAGTGGCACTGACTTAGGCTGGGTTTGATCTATTTCCATAGGCGTCATCCTAGTCTGGTGGTGATGTAGGAGAATGTCCTTGTGCTGAGCAACGTGTGTTGCGTTCGTTTACTGTGCGCTCAGGGATGTGTGAATGGTGCAGGCTGCAAAACATCCTCACAGTGAGTGTAGCAGTTCCAACAGCCATGACGGGGGCAAAAGCAACTATGGTCAGAGGTTCACGATTGCTTAGGGAAACGTGACGGGCATGGTTGTTCCTCCATGATTCTTCCAACTTTTCTTTGAATTTGAGGATTTTCCAAGTAAAAAGTTATGGGAGGTGGCAGGGTGGAGGGCTTTAGTTTGCTGGACATGGGTGTGTGTCCGGGAAGCTGGTCCTACCCGCCGCTCTGCCGGCCCAGGCTGGGCCAGGGAGCATCTGCCTGGACACCGTCCCTGGCTCCTCGCCAAGCTGAAACATGTTCTCTTCTTTCCACTCAGGCGAAGACCCGCTGGTGGATGATCAAAATGAACGAGACATCAATTCCGTGGCTGGTGTTTTAAAACTGTATTTTCGTGGACTGGAAAACCCACTTTTTCCTAAGGAAAGCTTTCAAGATTTGATATCTACTATTAGTAAGTACCCGTGGGAAGGGGCAGGCCAATGAGGGGGGTTCCTCGTGGACTGGGAGTTCCCAGTCTAGGGTCCACAGAGGCATGTAATGAGAGAAAAAAAGGTGACCCTTGTCCTCATACAACTTGAAATCCAGTGGTGAAAATAACAAGATGCTTTGTCATGAGTAAGCCAACGTGAACGGCACATCCCAGGTCCAGAAGGAGCTCAAAGGAGCAGACAGATCAGAGCAGAGAGGGCACTCTGAGCAGGGATGTTCAGGAGGAGTGGACAGACAGTCCCACAGAGGGCTGAGGACGCAGACTAGTAAGATCAGAAGGGAGTGTCCTGGATAGAATCAAGGGCAAGAGTTTGACCCCTGTTCCCCATGGGCCATAGGACGTCATGGGAGGCTTGGAGGTCAGCTCAATCACAAGACAGACAAAGGACATGGTGACTGTTAGCTGAGCAGGTGGCTTCTCTGACGTCACTGGCCGTGAGTCCTGCTGATCAGTATGCTTCTGCTGATCCAGGGATGAGCCCGATCGCTGGGGTGGAAGTCAAGGCACCTTGACTGGAAGATGTCAAAATCCAAGGCAACATTGGAGGAGGCTTTTAACAACAGAAATCAAAACAGGTCTATTTCAGAATGGTGAAGGTGGTCCAACACCCAGTTCCACACCGGATGTTCCTTACCACCTGCTGGGGGAGGTTAGCAGCAGGACAAATGACCAAGGAGGTGGTGAGTGGAGCCAGAGGTCTCGTTAAAGACTCTTCCTGGCCCCTTCTGCCCTTTACACGACTTCTTGCTCATCTTTCCAGACCAAGCTCATGCTTCCAATCACAGCTCAGAAAGCCCACACCGCCAAGTCCCCAGTCAAGTTCCAGAAGCCTCCAGGGCCTGTTTCCTGATTGAGGCCCTGAGCAGACAGGAGTGCTGACCTTGACTTCACCCTGTATGCCACAAAGGCCTTTCAAGTGTCCTCCCAACCTTCTCATTACTGCGAGGCAATGCCTTGAAGACCAGGCAGAAGAATAGTGTGTGTCTTCAGATTCAGGAAGCTGAGCACCTTGGCCCCTAGTATGGCAGTAGCCCTCTCTGGTCAGCATGACAAGCCCGGATGGCCGGGCTCCCTTGTAAACTGAGTGCTGAGCCTCAGTCTCTGAACTGTTGTCAGCAGGAAGGCCTAGCTAATGATGGTGAGTGGTCCTGGCTTCTCATTTACAGAGTGATGTACGGTTTTCTCTTAAACGTGTTTCGGACAAACCATATTCAACATAAGATGATGGAAGCCGAGAAAAGGCTGTAGTGAGGAGTGATGGAGCTAATAGGTGTGCCGGGAACTAACTGTTAATTCTCTGGGGAGAAGGTTTCATAGAGGCAGGCCTTGGAGGTGAGCTAGAGTGTGCTGGGCAGGGAAGAGGGATCGTTGGTTTGTGCAGGAGCCCAGGGACAGGAAAATCTTTGATGAAAGGGAGGCTGTGGAGAAGGCATCATGGGGCACTGTTGGCATTTAGGGCAGAAGAATAATGCATGTCTTCATATTCAGGAAGCTGAGCAGCTTGGCCCCTAGATAGCTTATGGCAGTAGCCCTCTCTGGTCAGCATGGCAAGCCACCCCCAATGCTCCATACTTTTCGAGGTCAACCTCCTCATGTAGATCACCTGAAGATGCTTTGGGGAAGAGTGGGAGACAGGGTGGGCAATGTTGGCTGAAGCCCCGTCATGAAGAGCCTTAGACCACCAGAAGAGCAATGAGGCGCATTGTGGTTTAGAGGAGCATGTTGACGATATTCTGTGGAGGTCAGCGAGATTGTGGACAGACACTGGGGCCCTTTTGAGAATCAGCCTTTCAAGTAAAGCTGAGAGCTGTTGCTGCTCCCTCTTCCTGTCTCCAAGTCCCAGCCCCAAACACACTGTCAGCTCCTTACTATGTCTACCTCTAGCTTGACCATGAAAACCTACCTGTTCCTCACTTATCAACCATCTCATTGTTTGACGCTTCACCGTATGACAAAGTAAAAACTACTGTCTGACTACTCTGCGCAATAACACCCAGCTGGCAATAAATAATGCCAAGGTGCCAGGTGAGAGTAACACTGGCTACGGTGGTTAAGGTATGTGTCAACTTGGCTGGGCCATGCTACTCAGTGGTTTGGCAGTCATGTAATGGTGTAATCATCCTCCATTTTGTGACCTCGTGTGCTTATCATCCCTTTTTTCATAAGACCGCTCTTTGTATAATGGCCCGGTCTTTGGAACCAAACCATCTTGATAAGTGAGGCATGGGTGTAATATTGTCTTTCTCTCCAGGATGATCAGAGGCGAGTCCTTGGGTATCTGCCATGCCATTGGCTAGTATATAGCTCGATGAGTAGTTATTTATTCAGCATGTGTTTCCTCATTACCTACTATGTGCCAGGCCTGTGCTATAACTGGCATTGATAGAGAAGGTTTAATAAAATGGGGTCCCTAAGGTGTTTGTCTGGATCCTTAAGTTACAGGTGACAGAAATGCAATGTAAACTGGCTGGATCCAAAAAGTTTAGGCCCAGCTGGATCCAAGCCCTCAGACCATCAGCAGGAATCCATCCCGTTCCATCCTTGGGCTGGCTTCACTCTCAAGGAAGCTGTTCTGTCCTGATAACCCCTCGCTGCTCCGGCTTCCCTCCACCCAGACTCAAAAAAGCACCTCTCTAAACTTCCCCATCCTGAAGCCCCAAGGATGAATTTTTATTGGCTCTGATGAGGCCCTCTCCAATTCAATCCTGTTGCCAAGGGGAGTGTGATACTCTGGTTGGCCAGGCCTGGGTCAGGTTGATTCCCTGGAGTCAGAACAGAACTGACTCTCCTTGGACTATTCGCGGCTGATATAGGAGGTGGCACCCCCATACCTTTGCGCAATCAAAGGCACCCTGAAAAGCCCCTTTATGTTACAGAACTGGAGACCCCAGCTGAGAGGGTACACCACATCCAACAAATCCTCATCACCCTGCCCCGCGTGGTCATCGTGGTCATGAGATATCTCTTCGCTTTCCTCAACCAGTGAGTGCTCTTCGCCTGCCTGGCCCAGGGGGCCCCTCGGACTCTGCCCTGGCCTCTGGGGAGGGAGCGTACGGAGGCTTTTACAGTGCTACTGTTTTCAGAATAGATCATGGGCCCTTCCTGGATTTGAGCCAAGCCCCCAAAGAAGAGGACCCCGGGGAGGATTGACCCTTCCCAGGTGACTTGCGGGGCCCTCCTCTCTTCTAGCCTCTCCCAGTATAGCGACGAGAACATGATGGATCCCTACAACCTGGCCATCTGCTTCGGGCCCACCCTCATGCACATCCCTGATGGGCAGGACCCCGTGTCCTGTCAGGCACACGTCAATGAGGTCATCAAAACCATCATCATCCATCATGAAGCCATCTTCCCTAGCCCCCGAGAGCTAGAGGGGCCCGTGTATGAAAAATGTATGGCTGGAGGGGAAGAATATTGGTAAGATCCCACTCCTCTTATTGTTAATATTATTATCACCATCATTGTTGTTGTTCGATGGGAACAGTAAGAAGCTCTCCAAGGTTCTTGTGCTTTTACTGCCTGTACTTCCATAGACTTTTTATACTGGGGGGGGGGGGCTTCCCCAGGGCCTTAGGCAGTCTTTAGGTACAGCAATCAAGCCCTTCTCCATCACAAAGGACACAGCTCCACCTAGCGCAAGCCAACGGGGAACGTATCCGTTAGCGTAGCTCAAACGTCTGGGAATACGGTGTCAAGTACAGCTGCATCCAGGGGCTCACATGTTACCCTTAGGACTTGGGCCTGCAATCTCTCTCCCTTGGCTCTGCTTTCTTCCGTGTTAGCCTCCTTCTCAAGCCCCCCTCTCCCATCGTGGCTGCAAGAAGGCAGTTAGCAACTCCCGATTTGGAGCTCGTTCTCCTCTCAGCCTCCCCCAATGCCCTTCCCAGATGTCCCAACGCAAGCCCAAGAATGGTGTCTCCTTGCTAAGGTGTCTGTACCAGTCCCCAAACCAGGCACATTGACAAGAGGGTGTCATGCTCTAACTGATCAGGTTGAGGCACAAGGAAGTGGGGAAGTGACTACTTCCCATCACAGATTCATGAACTAGTAGTTCCTCCCCCTCCACCCCATCCCACGACACACACACAGTAAGCTCATTGTCTTGGAGTGCTCCACAGCAGACCTGCAGTGTTTAGTTAAGCCACTCTGTGTACCTGGCACAGTACTGTGAGGAGGAAGGTTTCAGAACCTTATCAAAATCAGGGCTGATTTACCTTCTCCGGGCTAAGCCCTTATGATGTGACGAAGGCAGAAAATCCAGAACACCTGGGGGCAGAGGCCAAAGAGGTTCAACCTTTCCTTTCTTCCCAAGGTCACACACAGGCCTACCCTTGGGCATGACCTCAACTGCTTTCCACCGACAGAAGGGTGTGCCTTTTGATTTTCAAAGCATCCCTGGACTCTTGAGTTGCCTTAACTCTATGGACATATTTGGGCAACTACTTCTAAGGCGGGAAGTGTTCTAGCCCTGGTGTTACCCTGCCTGTGAAGAAATGGCAGTCCATGGTGATGCCTAATCAGAGCTCTCTAAGCTCATTGGAGGCACCAATGGGTAACTGGGGCCTTGTTCTGTATCAGAAGATATGACAGCCAGCAAGCATAATCTGGGGACAAAGAGAAGCTTTCCTGTCCGTTTTTTGCTGTCCCGACAGCTCCCAGTTCTTGCTGCACTATCTATAACTAGTGTTCTTCGAAGTTTATCTAAGCACAAGATATAACCACCAGACTTTTCTTGACCTCGTTATTTCTGAGGGGAAGGGGAACGGTTCATTCCGTGGTGGTTTGGGAGGAGGTTTCAAGCCGATGAAGCGTAGGGTTTGGGCTGAGGGTGTCTCATGACAGTGGACAGCATTTGATCATTCAGCAAATGGTTACAGAGCACTCGCCATGGGCCCAGCCCTGGGCTGGGAGGCTGGCTGTAATCCCCAACAGGAGAGCCCCTTGAGCTTGGGAATCCACCAGGAAAGAGGCGAGAGGATGTTCCTGAAGTGGGAACCCCGTGTCCAATTGTGGTTGGTCTAGAAAGGGCCCTGCAGGGGTGAACCCTGAACCAAGACCCCAGGGAGGAACTGGAGTGTGCCCAGTGAGCCAAGAACGTTGCCGGTGATGGGAACAGCATGTGTAAGGACCCAGGGCATCCAGTCGGGTGGAAAGCAGTTAGTGTGCACATGACCAGGGGATGGCGAGAAACAAGACACTGAGGGTTAGAAGTGCCTGGTTCTGGAAGCGTTTGGCAGAATCTGGACTTTACCCAGCAGGCCATGTAGGATCATTAATACGAAAGCCCATATCCCCCTGAAATGGCATCTTCTCTGAGAAACCTTCCCTGACCATTCTACATTGGACTCTGTGCTAGTCCAGGTAGACTAGAGTGACTAATTCATAGACACTCATATGTGTGTAAGAGGGAACTTTATATCAAAGAGTAATTGTACATTAAGAAAACATTCCAGGGGCTGTGGGTGTGGAGCACGGTGGACTGCGTCCAGAAGTCCAATAGTTGCCCATATGTCCTATACCAGTCAATAATTTCTCTTCAGACTCATGCAACACATGCAATTACACTGAATGCAGGAAGTTTACAGGCCAGTGGGTGGAAAGTCTTGTGGACCAGGTGGTGAGGAAAGCATCTAAGCGCTGGGGTGGGTCTCCACGTGGCTCCTCCAGCTCCAGGGCTCTGGCTGCCATCGGCATAGCTCCATGTGGCTTGTCAGCAGGAATGTCTCGAAGGGAGAGTGTGTGTCCCACCTCCAGAGAGGAAGACAGGAGTTCCCAGAATCCTCAGGAGAAGGTCCTGCCCACACAGAGGCCTCATTGGCTATGACCTGATTGACAGGTTGGACTCCACCCTGTTCGCAAGTTGACAGGAGAAGATGTCACTGCCACAGAGTCTGTGCCCATTTGTCTCCTACATACATACCTACTTCCACTGAACACTGTGCCGCTTACTAGCCTGTTCACCTGGGCATCTTTCCCATGAGCCTCATGAGGGCAAGGCCCCTGCCCGCCTCACCCATCACTATACTCTGGGAGCTGAACCTGGATGACATTGGGGTCTAACCGATGGCCCTAAGGAAAGCCTGGCAATAAACAAAAGCCCTGGTCTCGGGGTGCTTGCTCATGCTCTAGTGAGGGGGTAGCTGCTGGTAAGACTAAACCCAATGGACAGGGTTCACGCAGGCCCCATGAGCATGCCTGACCACGGCTGGGTGGAGGCCTTTACCCAGCAGCACCTTCAGGCAGCCCGCAGGGACCCTGCTCCTCCTATGTAGCTTTCCTTTCTCTCCCTTGTCTGCCCCCTGGCTCTAAGAAAGGGCGCCAAGGGCAGCTGATCTGATGCTTGTTCCTTTACAGGCTCCCATGCATCCCGGAACCTCTTCTCCTTGACTCGGGGTTCCTCCAGGGATCCATGCCAGGCTTCCCTCTTGCCCCCAGACTCTTCCCAAACACCCACACACTGACCAAGAAGCCACCCCAGCAAAGTGCAGGGCTTCAGAGGGCTGGAGGAGCGGTGCAGGAGAGCCTCACAGAGGAGGCGTCCAGCGAGGGGCAGATGGGATGCCATCGGCCTCAGCCCGATGGGAGTGAAGGCCCGGAGGCAGAGTGGACTGGCACCCACAGATGGCTGAGTGCCAAGGGGGTAGACAGCATCCCCTGGTGAGTCCCCTTCCTGTGTTCATTGCAGCGACAGCCCACACAGCGAGCCAGGGGCCATCGATGAAGTTGACCATGACAATTGCACTGAGCCTCACACCAGCGATGAAGGTGAGTTGTGGGAGTGGGGCAGGGTGGTTGGGGCCAAGGAACCACCCCCCCACCCCCACCCCAAACTAAGGAAAGAAACAAGCCGATTGCTGTTTATTGAGTGCAGGGTGTGTGTCAGAGCGGAACCCCCGCTCCTCTGGGCTTCCGAGGGCGCCTTTTGCTGAAGTCCCTCGCCGGGCTTGTCTCCCGAGGCACCTCTGGGTGGGCTTGAACCTACAGCTTTCCAGCTGACAGCAACAACCATTAACCACGTGTGCCACCCAAGCATTCCTAGGAATGCCCCAGGGACCTCTGACCCCACCTGTTCACCAGCCCCACCGCAGGACAGGTGCCTGTGCGTACAACCCCTGCAGCTCTCCGAATCAGGCACATTCATCCTTCAGAGAGACAGGGACCAGAAAAAACCGCCACAGTCCACCATGCTCCGCCCCCACAGCCCCAGACATCTGTGGGTCCTGCTGGCCCAGGCCCCATCCGTAGCGATGATAGTGTCCCAGGAAGGAAGCCACCTTTGTCTCCCAGTCAACAGCCCCGCCATTCCTTCCGCAAACCTCTGCTGAGTCTCTTCTGCACCAGAGCTGTGGCAGGCACTGGGGCAGGCAGCTGAACGCAACACCTGTGTTGTGTCGCCTGTCTCGGTGAGCTGGCATGGTTGTCCTCTTCCACATCTGTGGACCCAGTGTCCCTCGGCCGTGTGCACGTGTCCTTGCATCAGGCCTCCTCTGGGTCTCGGAGGTCCACAGCAGAGGGACACTGGGTCCAAATGAAGTGCTTTGTTCCTGGTTAGTCTTTCTTGGTGGTCATGATGCCCATCCCCTCTGCTGGCTTCTTTCTGCTTTTATCTCTTGTCTGATAACAGGTGATGCTTCCATGCGCCAGGGTAATTCCCTTTCATCTGACCAGGGCCTTGACCTGAGTAAGGGTGTTGATCACATCCCACCCTGGTCCTCTGACTTCAGATCAGCACCGATCACATCAGATCACAATGGGAGACGATCACATTGCCATACAGCCGCCCAATGACATCATGACAAAATAGCCAAACTGCAGAAAGGCATGGCTCAGCCAAGCTGGCATAGATTTGGGTGGTGGCATGTGTGCATGCATGTGTGTGCGCGCGCATGTGCGTGCACACGTGAAATTCAAATCCATAACATGACCCCATGTACATAGACAGCAAGCAGCTCCCCATGACATGAATGACCATGCTGGGTGACAGGTGTGACCCCATGTCATTGTGGGCACTCAGATGTGAGGCCCACGAGTGATGGTCTGGGGAAGTGGGCGGTGGGTGAGAGGTCAGGTCAGCTCAGGCTCTGAGCAGCCCACTGGGCTCTCCCAGCCCTTCCCGACAAGGAGCTGAATGCAGGGTTAGTCTCCAGACCAGCGGTTCTCAACCTGTGGGTCGCGACCCCTTTAGGGGGGGTCAAACAACCCTTTCACAGGGGTTGCCCGATTCGTAACAGTAGCAAAATGACAGTGATGAAGTAGCAATGGAAATAATGTTATGGTTGGAGGATCACCACAACATGAGGAACTGTATGAAAGGGTTGCGGCATGAGGAAGGTTGAGAACCACTGCTCTAGAGAAACCTAACCACCTGGACAAGCAGTGTGGGTGAGGTGGGTCCACACCAGCTTATTGTTCAGGAGAGCAGGCCTAGTGCTGAGGGTCCACAAAGACGTCTGCTTGTCTTTTACAATCACAGGAAAGAAATGGCTATGATCCAGATGGGATGCTCTCACCTTTGTACCCAGACAGTGCTAAAATACAATTTATTATTATTATTATTATTTATGAAGGAAGGGGCCCAAGAAGTCACCCAGTGCAAAGGCACCCACAAAAAGTTACCGTGTGGCCCGATATGGCCTGAGCATAGCCCCCTGCTCCCTGTGCAAGCTGTGTTTGTTTTCTGTGAGCACTTGCCATCTCCCTAGGCGGCCCTTACCCTGCCCGGGGGCGTGGGCCACAGCCTACCGCCGCTGCATTCACCAGTAGAGTCTGCTATCCATCCGTGCGGCCCGCCATCCTCCAGTCCTTGCTGAAGAGGTCTTCTTTTCCAACAGAGAGCCAGGATTGAGGCTCATGGCCCTGACTTGGGTCAAAAGTGCCTCCATACGACCCAATCCCTGGGCCCCAAAGGAAGCTTCTGGGTCAGGCATGGGTCACAGGTGTGCTAGCAAAGCCAGGTGTGGTCCTCCCCCCCGCAAGATCCTGGGGAGTGTCCTGGGAGCCTCTGGGGGGAGATGTGAAGTTTTCTACAGTGGCTCCTCTCAGTGATTTGCTTCCCTGTGCCTCTTCTCCCTCCTCCCTATGCCAACCCCTGTTCTCCCAGGGTGCCCCCACCCTATCGTTCCCTTCCAGTCCCTGGGCTCGGCTTCCCTGCAGCATTCCTCACATCAGGATCAGTTTGCCTCCTCTCGTCCCAGAGTCTTCCTCTCTGACGTTGTCTCCTTCGTGTCTCCATGTGTGGGGGGGTGCTTGTGTATATAGATGTATGTGCCTGTATGTGTTTGTATATGTGGGTATGTATGTTTATGTGTGTTTGTGTGTATATGTATGGTGTGTATGTGTGTTTGTGGGGGGGCTGTGGGGGTGTATGTGTGTATGCAGTATGTATATGTATGCGTGTGGGGTGTATATGTATTTGTGTGTGTGTATGTATGAGTGTATGTGTTTGTGTGTGTATGTGTATATGTGGTGTGTGTGATGTGTATGTATACGTGTGTGGTGTGTGTATATGTGTGAGTATGTACATATGTGTGTATATGTGTGTGTATGTCATATGTAGTGTGCAGTATGTGTGTAGTGTGTGTGTGTGTTTGTGTCTGGGGGGATGTATGAGTACCTGTATGTATGTGTATAGGTGATGTGTATATGTCTGTGTGTGATGTGTATGTGTCTATATATGTGTACATGTATGGTGCGTGTATATGTGTGTATCCTGTTAGGATTTTATGGGGTTGTTTGTGGTTCCCAACTTTTCTTAACAAAAATGTACAGTGAACACCCATATGCCCACCCCCTAAGCTGTACAATAAGTAACGCTGTCCTCTGTTAGCTTTCATTTTATCTCCATCCTCAGATCTATCCACCCACCCACATTTTCATGCATCCCAACATACGTTGCCATTATCCGTATATCGGGGCCCTCAAAGCATTGGTGGAAAATATTCCGTTGTCTTTTCATTCAATGTTTTCTGTGAGCTTTTGAAGTCCCCTCAGACCTCCCCCTTAGGCGCGTCATTCAGCATTCAGATCAGTCACTGTAATCGAGACGGTCACAGAGGTGCCACAAGGGGGTGGTTTTAATGAACAGGAATTGATTGTTCTCAGAGTTCAGGAATCAAACGGAACCAAGTCCAAATGCATGGCACCCCCAGCGAGGGACAAGTCCTCTCTGCCGGCTCTGGGGGAAGGTCCTGGCCTCTTTCCAGCTTCTCTTTCGTCGTCCCTGGGCAGTCTTCCCGAAGCTGGCATCTGTCTCCCCTCATCTCTGCTCACGGGCTCCGGTCTGTCGGGATCCTTGTCACGCAGCTGTGACTACGGTTGGGGTGAATCCAACACGGGCATGGCCTCATAACAAAGGGAACCTGATTTCCAAGTGGGACTCCATCCACAGGTGGGGTTGAGATTCAACACAGACTTTCAAGCGGTGGAGCTTTTGGGTGGGGGGAGCGTGGAGGGGGCCCCTAATCCGGTTCATAACAAATGGTTGGCTGATTCACTTGGTATTTCCGAGCCCGAGTGCAGAATGGAAGCAGCTACCCACTGTGACTTAGGCCCCATACCTAGGAGGTTGCCTCCCATCATCCTGAACAGAATATCCGTCTGAACCCTGGCCGGCACTGCTCCCTGAGGCCTGTGTGAGCCCAGGTGTGGCGAGGGAGGAGGAACCTAGGGAGGCATTTGATTCCTTTGCATGCAGACATGACTGTAAGCCCCAGTCCTAGTGGCCCCCGAGAATCTGCGTGGGTTCCTCTGGGGCAGGAGTTGGGGTAGGTAGTGATGTGTGTGTGTGTTGGGCAGAGGGGGGGTTCCTAAGAGAAAGGAGCAGCACCTCTCCCTGGCAGGACCTAACTGGGGCCCTCTATCCAGGCCTGGTTAGAGAGAGCGATTCCGGCTTCCTATTGGGTGGACGCTTGGGTGATAAGATCGACAGCTAACTGTTGGACTTTGGAGTCTACCCAGAGGTGCCTCAGAAGAAAGGCCTGGTGATGGATATCTGAAAGGTCAGCCTCAGAAAGCCCCGGGGAGCACAGTTGTAGTCTGACACGCACACGGGCCGCCATGACTTGAAGCGGACCACAGCCATGGAAGCCGAGGAGATTAGAAGGAGGGAAGGAGATGCTGTGTGCCACCTGCCCAGCTTTCCGGCATATGAAACTCAGGACAGATGGGCCAATAGAGACAGCAACTCAAATAAGAAGTCTTGGGGGTACGGTGGTGCAGGGGGTTGGGGAGAGCCAAGGGAGAGCTGATGTCAAGGAACTCAAGAAGGAAGAAAATGCTTTGAAACTGATTTGGACCATCCTGCTTGCCCGTGATTGAACTGTGGCATGGTATGATGCCTGGATTAGCTCCTGATAAAATAGTTTGGAGAAAAAATCATCATCATCAAATGAGGGAAGGTGGAGGTTTCAGTTAGTCCAGGCAGGGTGTGCGGGAGAGTGGTGAGGAGGAGAATCACAGTGTTTTAGAGACAATAAGCCCCAGTGATAGATGCATGAATAGATGGTAGGAAATGAGGACTGCTGCAGCCGCACAGGCTTATCTACTGACATCTGCAAACACACACACCTTCTCTGAGCCTGTGTTCTTCCCATGACATTCTCCACCCCTCTCCACGCACCCCAACCCCCACAAACCTCAGCCGGTTTGCTGGAGTTCGAAGGGAAACCCCCAGTGAAATGTGCTTTTAAACCCTGAGAGGCGGGGGCGCTGCCAGGGCCTTGCTGAGGCAAGGCAGGCTCCAGGCAGCACCAGTCCAGGGCTGGTGGGAGATTCAGAGGCGCCGCAGGGAGGAGGACAGAGATGCCCCGTTGTATTGAGAAGGTGACCTGTGTTAAGATCTGAGTTAATTTGACCTACTTAGCTGTTTCTGTCTGCCTCTCCCCGTCCTCCTTGTACACAGCCTTGAGCGGCTTTTGTAGGAGAGCCAGCCAGGGAGAGCTGAGTGTCAGGTTTGAGGCCTGCTCCCTGCAAGAGGGTGGACAGTCCCAGAGGGCCTATCTGGGAGCAGTCTTCCAAGTCAGTGGGGTGGGGACTAGTTGGCTGGGGGTTGTCACCTCCCGCTGCTCCGGGCTCTTCCATGCTTCCTGTGGCCCTTAGATGAGTGTCAAGTCTGGTAACAGCTGACAACTCATTCTTACACGGAGCTAGCTGTGTGCCAGATGCTGTGGCAAGCACTTCTGGAACTATTAACTCGTGCAATCCCTCCGAGGTGGGTGCTCTCGTTAGCAATCCTGCTTCACAAATGAGAAAACGGATGTGCTTTGGAAGTACGAGGGAGTTGAGCCGGGAGGATGGTGGAGGAGGTTCTGCACAGCCGCTCTGAGGGATGGAGGGCACCGGGAGGGAGTGCCGTGGGAGCCCAGCAGAGGGAGGAACTCAGGGCTGCAGGGGCCAGAGGCCGCTTTCATGACCCTCCCTCCTCCCTCCCTCTTAGAATGAAAAAGCCAAACAAACCAACCCTCCAAGTGCACAGAGAGCGGGCTCGTATGATTTTAATATGTTACAGATGTTGGCTTTGATCGCGTTCCTGCTCGATGCGGGCAGCTCTCAGGGGCACATGCTCTGATAGAGGTCAAGTAAATCAAAGGCGCATCCTCTGGGTTTCCAACAGCAACTCCTTCATCCGCATCACTAGCTGTGCAGTCTCAGCAAAGCCATGTAAACCCTCTGCGGCTTACGTTTCTTGACTGCACCTGCCTGGAGGCGACCTCCCTTAACAAGCATCCAACCGCCCACCCTCCATCCAGAGCTGCTGTGGACTGAGTCCCTGCTCAGCACGCCCACCACGCCGCACACGTTCACGCCGTGTCTGCCCCCATCTTTGCTCTCGTGAGCATTTTACCATCAGAAGGATTTCACGGGAGATGACTTCTCGTGGAATTTTTAGAAAATGAGACTTCCTTTTTAAAAAGCGGTTTTAGGTTTACGGAGAAACTGCAAAAAGTCGAGAGACTCCCCCTCTATCCCTTACCCCACCCTGCACAGTTTCTGTTAGTACGACCTGGTCCCTTTGTGAAAACCAAAGACCGATATCGGCACACGGTTTGTCAGGAAGTATCATTATTTAAGGGCCACCCTTTGTGTTGCTCGGTCCAATTATACGTTGACAAGGACATCGTGTCATGTCACGTACCCACCGTGGCACGGTCACACAGAATGAACGCTTTCTCGACCCTGGAAACATGCCTGCCCTGCCGGGCCATCTCCTCCTCCCCTATCCACCCTCACTCCCCGACCCCGACTCCCACTGCTCTCTTTTTGGTTGCCTACAGTTTGGTCTCTTCCTGAACGTCAGGTGGCTGGCGTCCTCTCACCTGGCAATGTGCATTTAAGGTGCACCTCATCTTCTGGTCGCTTCATGGCTCACGTGTGTCTCATCATGGAGTCCAGCCCCAGAGTGTGGGTGCACCCCTGTGCTCACTCTCAAGCCTGGGGGAGGACATCTCGGTTGCTTCCAATTGGGAACAGTTCCCTGGGTTATCCTTTCATCTGCATAACAACGCTTACAGATAAAGTGGTACCGAAGTAGGGTGTCCCTTACCCCAAATCACACGGACAGGAGGTGACAGAGTGGGGTGGTGGAAGCACCTCACGAGCAAGAGCGCCCCTCATCATTTCACCTGGTCAGGGCTGTTTGGAGAAAAGGAGATGTTTGAGGGATGCACGTGTGTGTGCAAAGAGATGCTTGAATTGTAGTCCATATAGGAATCTCCCCACACCCCCTTCCACCATAGTAACCCCAAGGTGAGCTTTCAGGCCACTGGAAATCCTTCAAAACTGGGTACAGTGTTTTGCCCAGAAGCAAGTCCATGTCTACCATCTGTTTGACTTTTCAAAAAGTTGAGAATGTGCTTTAAGAGTACCAAGAGAGAAGCCACCCACTGCCCGCTGCCTCTGAGTCCATTCCAGCTCTGAGCAGCCCTATGGGACAGAGCGGAACTGCTCCTGCAGACGGGCTTCCAAGTGCCTCATCTCTCCCCCAGAGAACAGCTGGTGGGTTTGAACCGCCAACCTAGTGCTCAACCCACTGCACCTCCAGGGCCCCTTCCAAGTAGAAGGAAGATGGAAACAGAACTTGTGTTGAGGCTTGGAAGGAAGATGAGTTTTTAGAACATTGCCTCAATGTGAACTATAAACAGGGTCAAGAGGCCCCAGGGAAAATGAGGCGGCCATAGGTGGGTGCTAAATTGATATGTGGTGCCATGTGGAAGAGAGGCGTCAGGGAGCCAGGAACAGCCACTAGGTTTGTTGCCCCCACAGCCGGCAGAGACAAGGAAGCACAGCATGCCAGGATGCAGTGCTAGCGGGCTTGGTCCAGAGGCAGGATGATGGCAAGTCACAGTGAGAGGGGCGGGCTGTGCCGGGCGGGCAGGGGGTAGTGAGGCTGCCCGGGCCTCCTGGGGATTGGCCTTCCTAATCATCCTGCAGATCAGCGAGGATAGGGGCTATCTCTAGGATGATGTTCCTGGCCCCGGAGTGATTAGAACTGGTGTGTCTGGCCCAGGGATGTGAGAATGGAACAAGGGGAGTGGTTGGAGAGTGGATTGAATCAGCTGCCCAGCCTCAACGATGGGATCGAGATAGCGTTATAAGAACGTCGGCACTGCAGTCAGCTACCACTTTCTGTTTTGAGAAACTGAAGCCCAGAGAAGTGTGAGAACTTGCTTGAGGTCACAGAGCCAAGGGCAGACCGAAGCCTTGAATTAGGGCATCCTGAGCCCCAGCCCAAGCTGTGCGCAGCAAGCTCGCTGCCTTGCCCTTCCCTGCCGAAGTCAGGGCTTCCTTCCAAGAAAGGTTCCAAGCCTGCTGCTCCTCGGCTGTTCTCATGGCTACCCTCTCCCGTGTTCTCTTTCCAGAAGTGGAGCAGATCGAGGCGATCGCCAAGTTTGACTACGTGGGGCGGTCCCCCCGTGAGCTGTCCTTCAAGAAGGGGGCCTCGCTGCTGCTGTACCACCGGGCCTCCGAGGACTGGTGGGAAGGCCGGCACAATGGCGTGGATGGACTCATCCCACATCAGTACATCGTTGTACAGGACATGTGAGTGGGCGGCTGTGTGGGGAAGTGACCATAGATTAGTGATGTCTGGAAGGGGCTCAGGCAGAGAAGTTCAGGTCTGTATGCCGTGGCGATCTGGACTTGTCAGTTACAATATGCCTGGGTCCCCTTAAACCATGATTCGCTTTGCAAACACACAAATGGCTCACTGTGCAGGAGATGGAGAGACTGCAATAGGTGCTCCTGACCCACCACCTAGGACCATCAATTGCCTCCGGGGCATTCACACCCATGGCAGCCTTCAGTGGTCAGTGAATCCCTCCTCCGTTCTGGGCCCCTGTAGCCAAGGGCCGGCCCATCACCTCCCAAACTGCCTCACATGCTCCACCCTTGCGGTGACTTCTAAAGGGAGTGATAGAAATGACCCTCTTCTTTTTTCAGTCAATAGGGCGCTATTTTTTGGTGATAATGTCTGAGGTTAAGAAAAGTCCTGGCATCGCAGAAGGCTCAGGGAAGCGTGTCCCTCCCATTTGAAAGCCACCGAGGGTCCTGTGTCCTCACTCCCTATATGCTCTGATCAGTCTCCATGCAGGCGGTTCTCCAATGAGCCACCAAGCTAGACTCAAAGGCCAGGAACCAGAGGCTAAAGGCTTGATGGGACATGGGGAAGTCAAGGGAAGGCCAGAACCAGGCCCGTGACAGCCTTCTGAAGTCCCCAGTTTCTTAGGGCAGGGACAAGTGACTGGGAGGGATAGGGCAGTGGAAGGAGGCTGTCACGGCACCCAAAGGAGCTCCAGCCCCCTCCTAGTTGCCCAGAACCCGGGGACAGAGGCGAGGGAGGTCTTGTCTTCCTCCCTGGCTTAGCCCTAGACTCCGCCGTCAAAAACTCAGTCCTCAGCTTACAGACTCCTTTTCCCCATTGCTCCAATCCCACCTCCGGCCATGAGCCTGGGCCTGGCCCCGAGCAGCTAGGTAGGGTGGAAAAGACAAGAGGAGGGACAGGAGAAGGTGGGAGGAGGGAGAAGGTGGGCAGGGGCGGGGACACAGGGACATCTCTGCTAGAGAAACGGACTGAGGCTGTGCCCAGGGCAGAGCACCAAGTGGGCAGATGGGTCCCCAGAGCTGTGAGCACAATTGAGCCATCAGGTGTGTGCTGCCCCACCCCCTGGGGCCCTCTGGAGGGAACCCCCACCCCCATTCATCTCTGTCCTCCACAGGGACGATGCCTTCTCGGACAGCCTGAGCCAAAAGGCGGACAGCGAGGCCAGCAGCGGGCCACTGCTGGACGACAAGGCCTCCTCCAAGAATGATCCCCAGTCCCCAACGGAGCACATCGCCGACTACGGCTTCGGGGGGGTGATGGGCCGGTAGGAATTCGCTCCCCTGCTAGTGACATATCTATTCATGCCGGGTTCAGTATGGGGGCGGGGGGGGGCCCCCACAGGATGTGATCTTGGGCACAATGGGATGGGCTAGTTGGGTTTGGCCCCAAAGAGCCTTGGGCTAGATGGGCCCTAGGTACTGTATGTCAGTCCCCAATGTCTTTTGGGGGTGGGGGCGATTTGCTAATATTAGGGTGTGGGCCAGGCTGTCTCATAGCCTTTCTAGCATGTCACTCTGAGAAAAGGTTTTGTCCAGACCATGTGGCTTAAAAATAGAAGAAGAAGGCAGAGGAAAGGGAAAGTTAGCAGTTTCTCACTGCAGTCCCAGATTCTCAAAAGGTCCTGTGTGCTTGCCAGCAAGGCAGTCATGTGACCCCCCCACCCAGATAGGAATTGCAATACAGGCCGAGTAAATTAATCAGACCCCCAGGAGCCTTGGTTTCTAAATTGGCCTCAGCAACACATAGCTTTGGTAGCTCATTCCAGCATGGCCTCACTGTCTGCCCGGCTGGGGACAGTGCAGGCCGATGAGGAGGGTGTGGTCCCTGGACTTCTGGCTGGGTTGCACCCCACCCTGCCTCTCCTCCCTGCTCACTCTGCCCTCCTCCCTCGCCAGCTGCCTTCTCTCTCCAACTCTCCCTCTCCTGCTTGTGTCCTGTGGGGCTTGCTTAGCTTGGCTGCTGGCCATCATGAACTTGGTTCCCCGCCACAACCAAGCCCCAGAACGCCGCTCCTCCAGCACTGGGGGTGCCGGTGTCTCCTGTGTGTCCTCTGTCAGTCTCTGTCCATGGTGCTTTCACACCCGGGTGGGAAGAGCGAGTTCGCTAACCGGGTTAACAGAATACACCTGAGCGAGCCCTCGGGACCGGGGTTCACCCTGCTGAGAGACCTCAGCCCCCTCTCGCTCACTGAGGGCAAAAGAGATCCGAGCACATGGAAGGTGAGTTAGTCTGGGTAGACTAGAGAAACAAATCCACAGAAACTCATGTATATAATAGAACATTTTATAGAATGGGTAAGTATACGTTCAGAAAGCATTCCAACCCAGTGCTGTCCAAGCCCATAAGTCCAACATTAGTCCATATGTCCGACACCGATCTACAGTCCTCCTCAGTCTCACAAAACACCGCAGTGATGCTGACTGCAGGAGGAAAGCCAAATCAGTGAGCGTATGAGCATCTCAGCACTGGCAGGGGTCTCCACACGGCTGCTCCGGCACCCAGGGCTGCATCGGGTGAGGTCCATGTGACTTCAGGGATGTCTCACAGGAAGTGAGCCTTGCCAGCTGAAGCAGGGAACTGGTTAAGGCAGCTGCACCCTGGTCCAACCATCAGAAAGCAAGAGACCCGAGAACTAGAAAAGCGAGGTTCACCAAGCCATTTATTTCTCTGTGCCCTTCAATTGATCCCACGTGTGTTTATGGGCCAGGTTGGCACAGTAAACTTTAACTATCTCAAAAAGAGTTTAGAGACAGATTCTCCAAGTTCAGAAAAAGCCTCAAGGAGGGGAGACTTTGGCTGGAGGTGGGTGACCACGCTGGTCTCCATGAATGTCCCTGGGGTGGGGTGGGGGGCTGGGTGACATGGGGGGTACAGTCAAGCCTCTGCACTTCATTGGGACCCAAGAGAAGCCCACCTGAACTCCTTATGGTTGCTTCTAAGGGAAGTCCTCAGCCCCTAAGGGACCCAGGGTGGAATCCTGTGGGCCCAGACTCAACATGCAGAGGACGCCCACTTTGTAATGAGCACCTCTGCTCTGTCTGCCAGCCAGGACTGCCATGGCCTGTTGTAAGCAAAGTGGAGCAGCTTAAACTCCCCAATGCAGCTGCCTCCCCTGCCCACCCCCCACTGCAACCCCCTAGGGACCAGCCCTCTCCTTGCAGAATCTAAGAGGCTTGCCTGTACCCCACCCCACACCCCCAGCAGAGTGTGTGGTGTCCATTGTGCATGGTGTGGCCAGAGGCCGGCTGCCTCTGTCTGTGACCCCCAGGGTTGATCTCTGCCCCGGCTCCTTTGCAGAGTGCGTTTGCGATCGGACGGAGCAGCCATCCCCAGGCGCCGGAGCGGGGGCGACGCGCACAGCCCGCCCCGCGGCCTGGGCCCCAGCATAGACACGCCGCCCCGCGCCAGCGCCTGCCCCAGCAGCTCGCACAAAGTGACCCTCGTCCGGGGCAGGATGGAGAGCCCAGAGAAGCGGCGGATGGCGATGTTCGGGAGCGCCGGCAGCATCAACTTCCCCGACAAGAAGGCGCTCTCTGAGGGTCACTCCGTGAGGTCTTCCTGCGGCTCCACCAGGCACAGCAGCCTGGGGGACCACAAGTCCCTGGAGGCCGAGGCCTTGGCAGAAGTAAGGGCCAGTGAGGTCCCCACAGGGCTGTGGGGGCGGACTACATAGGGGGACAGGGCCCATGCCAGTGCAGGGCTGCCTGCCCCTGCTGCGCTGCCCATGCACCGCTGAAGGTTTGGGGCCAGCCACTGTCTACTGCTTAGTACACCCCCTTAAGGGTGAAGAGCTCAGCCCCCAGCTGACGGGGGATTCCTGGCCTGCAGGTGCCCCCACAGGGGGCATTTATGTATCACCTCTGGGTTGTCATCACCGTGCTGGGCACTGAGGGGACAGTGCGGACCTGAAGCACAGGAAGTCCTCTCACTGATAACTTAGAGCAGGGACCATCAGCTCAGGAAGAGAGAGCGAGAGATGCCCCGAGGGTGGACAGACAAGAAAGATCGCCAAAGCTCTTCCGCAGGGCTTAGCATTTCTGTTGTTTTCCATTTCAATGAGCCATCTACCGAGGCCACACTGCCAAACAACCAGAACCATGACTTTGTTGTTGTTGTTGTTGTTGTTAGAATTGGTTTGCCAACAGAATGCATGCCACCCAGTCCTCCCCGGCCTCCACAATGGTAGCCGCGGGGCCAGCCCACTTCAAGAGTCTTCCTCTTTTTTGCCAACCCTCTTCTCCCGGGATGTGATGCCCTTGCCCAAGGACTTGCTGAGCAATTTGAAAACAAAACAAAACAAAACAAAACAAATACTTCATGTAAGCACAAGTGTCCATTTGCCCCTAAAGTTTCCATTTTCCGCCCCCCGCCCCAGCTCTGAAAGGTAGTGTGGGCCTCCTTGGTGTGACACCTCAGGTGGGAGGGAGGAGCAGAGCCCTTGAGGGCGGTGAGAATGCTGGCTGTGATCAAGAGTGATATTCAGATGCTCAGAAAGGAAGGGGCGAAGGTTCAGAGGTGGGCTGTGTTCCAGGTGAGGCCAGCAACTGTCCCAAAGGAATATCCCCAACCCAGGCATGACTTAACCCACAGCAGATCGCCTCTTTGTACCTGTAGGGCTGATGGTGGCACCATCTCCTCAGTCTGCCCCTGAGGAATCCTTGAAGAGGGGCCTTGGTTTGGGGCCAGCAGAGGAGGCGGCAACCTGATGGTTGCTTCTTTCTGGAAGGCCATCCTGTCAGAAAGCCTCTCCCTAGCACCCACCACCACCAAGTGATCAGCGAGCTAGATTCTCTCTGAAGCCCATCCCAATGCCCTTTCCATAAGGAGTCACCACATAGTGTAGAACAGTGTTTCCACAAGAGATCCCCAACAGCATGGACTGGTGATGTGGGGAGGCCACAAGGCCTGGGCCATGCTCATGGGACATGGCTGAGTGCCTTGTCTGTGGGACTTTTGAGAACCTTTGACTGTTGTTCTTCAGCAAGCATCTCTGCAGAGGGAAGCAGGCACCCTTATCTCCCAGGCTTCAGTTATATTCTGCAGAACCGGCCCAAAGCCTAGACTGTGCAGAGCTGAGTGTGTGTGTCTGTCTCCACGTGCAGAGCCATTTGCGCTCTGACTTGGTAGCTGCCACTCAGCGTGCCTTTCACAGAGGGAGTCCAGGGACACAGGGTACGCAGGGCTCAGGGAGCCAAAAGAAGACTCCAGTCGGCCTCCGGCCTGCTCAGCCTCTGTTCCGATGAGCCCCTGGAGGGTGCAGCTGCTAGGGGGACCTGGCATACAGGGAAGCCTATGCCGTAGATAGTGTGCCTGGCAATGCCCAGACCCCAGTGGCACAGGTGGTTTGGGGAACCTGCAGCACTGCCCACAGAAGCAGGGCAGCAGCGTGTGAAGCTCTCATTTGGGAGGGGGCAGGGCACAGTGACCGTGCTCACCACCCCCACCCCCCCCACCCCCGGCGCCAGCCTCCCTGCATCCCCACGCTGAACTAACACACATGCTGCCTAAACAACTCAGCCGCTCGCTCCCGCGCTCTGTCTCTCTCTCTCTCTCTCTGTCTCTCTCTCTCTCTCTCTCAGCTCCCTCTTCTCCCCGCTGCTCACCTCCCTCTGCCAGGGTAGAGTGGATGGAGGTGGCAGCGGTGGAGGGGAGATACCTGTGTTTGATTCAAGTTTTTGCCTTTCAGCTCAGGCTGGCCCAGAGCCAGCAAACAGTAGTGATGTCCATACGTGCACACGCGCGCGTGCGCACACACACACACACACACACACAGAGGCCTGTGGTTGTCAGGTGGACGCTGGCTCATTGGTGGACTCCTGTGAACAGAGGGTTTCTGGGGCTGTGATATTTAGGGAGCAGATGGCCAGGCCTGACTTCCGAGGCATCTTGGGATGGCTTTGAACTACCAGCCTTCCTCCAAGTCATCTATCACATAACTGTTTGTGGCATTATCTACTGTCCTACCCGTGGTTGATTCGGGGATTTGCCATTGCCCCCATAGGGTTTCCCAGGCTGTAAATTATCAAGGAGCACACTGCCACATCTTTCTCCCTGGGAGCAGTTGGTGGGTTCAAAGTACCAACCCTCTGGTTGGCAGCTAAGCGCTTTAACCACAGTGCCACCGGGGACCGTGAGCAGTTACTGGTATTAGAGGCCTTCATGTAAGTGGAGCTGTTGATGGTCGCGCCATCTGCTGCCGTGGGTGCAAACAGCATCGCCATCAGAGAGGGGGACTTGGTCTCCCCCTTCATGCATAAATCCCCCACACCTACTCTGCGGGGGGGATTAAGGCCCCAAAGGTACCTTAGTAATGTGTCAGATGTCTAGAGGCAAAAGGTGAGTGTTTGGGGGAAGCGTAAGCCAACAATGGTGCTTCAGTGGAGCATCAGCAGTATCCGAGAAGACAGGAGGGGCGGGGACAAGGCAGGACAGGAGACCCAGACTGCTGTCACTGGTATCACTCTCGGGGGAGGAGGGGGGTGTCTTTGACAGACAGGCTGGGGAAGAAGAGAATAGAAAACACTTGGTGCAGAACAGGGTTGGTGGAGCGTCTCCCACGTCCAGCCTTGTTGATCTCATGAGCCTGGGGGTCCGTACACGGGGTTCTCAAACCCTGTGCAGCTTGAAACTTTCAGTACATACATGGGGCTCTGAAGTAAAACACAGGACCGGATTCAGGTCATGCTGACTTCATGTGTGCAAAACGTACTGATGGCTCTCGAATAATTTTGACATTGTTGTGAGGGGCGGGGCTGGCTCTGCGATCACAAAAGTTTGCCGACCCACCCCCGACGCCAGCAGAATACATTCATGCTCAGGGAGGACACAGAAGGCCTTGGGAAGGGCTGCTTCCCGTGGAGGGCGGCTTCCAGCAGTGGTCTTCAGGAACACCCCTGAAGGGTCCTCAGGTGGGGGCTCCCCTGTACAACACTGGCTGGACCACTGGCTGGTGCTACAAAGAGCCAGAAAAGCCCACACGGGCTTCCCCACATCCATTTCCGTATGTCGGCTTCCCGGGAAGCGTGTGAGCTTTCCCAGGGGAACAGGGTGAGGTCCAGAGCAGCTAGACCTGCCCACGGCCACAGAGCCAGCAAGTGGAGAGGAGTCTTCTCACTAAACAGTTTAGGGTCCTTTGCTTTCTGGGTAGAGTCCTGGTGGCATAGTGGTTATGGGTTGGGCTCCAATCCACATGGTCGGCAGTTCGAAACCACCAGCAGCTCCTCAGGAGAAAGACTGGGCTTTCTGCTCCCGCCAGCAGTTACAGTCTCAGACCCCCACTGGTGGGGGGGAGGGGGGCTGTGAGTCAGCATAGACTCGATGGCAGTGAGTTGCTCTTTTGTGGCTATGTGTTCAGCTGCTAACTGCAAGGTTAGCAGATCGAAACCATCAGCTGCTCCTCGGGAGAGAGACGGCTTTCTACTCCGTGAGAGAGTTACAGTCTCAGAGACCCACAGGGGCAATTCTGCCTTATCCTGTAATGTAGCCAGGAGCCGGCACCGACTTGTTGGTAATCTTTTTTGTCATTGGTTTTGCCTTCTCCAGGGTCTCTGGGTAGTATGAATGGTTAATGATGCTAACCCAAAGGCCAAAGGTTCATATCCACTCAGAGATGCCTCAGGAATAAGGCCTCCTTCTGAAAACTCAGCCATTGGAACCCCTGCGGAGCACAGCTCCACCCTGACACGTGGGGCTGCCAGGAGTCTGAACTGACTCTGGCCACTGGCTTTATACTGAGCAGCCCAGTGGCACTGTCCAGTAAGCGTTGGACTGCTAATTGAAAGGCCGGAGGTTCAAAGCCCCCAGCTGCTCCAGGGGAGAAAGACGAGGCTGTCTGCTCCCATCGAGAGCTGCTCCCTCAGAAACCCTGTCTGGGGAAGCTGTGAGACGGTAGAAGGTTGCTTTGATAAAACACACGTTCCTTGTCAAGGAAGGCTCTGCGGCTCAGAGAAGTGGCACAGTCTCACCGAGGTCACATGGCAAGCAAGCAGCAGAGTCAGGCTTTGAACCCAGATCTGTCTGCCCCGAGGGTGGCGGCCTAGGCTGCCCTTAGTAGCTCTCCTTCCAGTACAGAACCCTGCTCAGGGATGGAAGCCCGCCTTCATTCTTGCGTTTGGTCCCATCACAACCCAGGGGTGTGTTTGACCATCCCAGCCATGAGATGCCATACACACCCCCACTCCACCCCCACCCCAAGGCAACGAGCTAACCAGCACACAAGGCTGCCTCTGGGCTGTGCTGACCAGAGCTCTCTGTCCCTAGGACATCGAGAAGACCATGAACACGGCTCTGCACGAGCTGCGGGAACTTGAGAGGCAGAACACGGCCAAGCAGGCACCGGACGTGGTGCTGGACACGCTGGAGCCCCTGAAGAACCCGTCAGGCCCCATCAGCTCAGAGCCTGCCAGCCCCCTGCACACCATGGTCATCCGAGACCCCGATGCTGCCATGCGCCGCAGCAGCAGCTCCTCCACCGAGATGATGACCACCTTCAAGCCCGCCCTGTCTGCCCGCTTGGCCGGAGCCCAGCTGCGTCCACCCCCCGTGAGGCCCGTGAGGCCCGTGGTCCAGCACCGGTCCAGCAGCAGCAGCAGCTCAGGCATGGGCAGCCCGGCGGTGACGCCCACGGAGAAAATCTTCCCCAGCAGCTCAGCGGACAAGTCGGGCACCATGTGACCTGCAGGAGGGGCCCGGCACCGCCACGCCCCTGCGGCACACCAGGGCCTGGGGTGGCCCTGGCCTTTGGCAAAAGAGTGGCAGACCAGCCTAGGGGTGGGGGGGGCTGTGTCTGGGCAGAGCTGGGGCAGAAGGCATTTGCTGCAGCTCAGGTGCAGCTGGGTGAATCCGAAGGTCACGTGAGAACACACACCAAGGAGTGGAGGGACCAGAAGAGCCTCAGCTCGAGCATTTCCTAAGGACTGGTTTCTCCCACAGATCATCACTGGAAACTTAGTCTCTCTGCATACATATATATGCACATGTCTATGTATATGCATATATAGACACACATCTGTATATGTATGTGTCTAAGTGTGTGTGTGTATTTATGCATCTATATACATATACTAGATCTGGACACACACATGCTAAATGTATATAGGATCTCCTTTTCCTTTTTACAAAACTTAGATTTACCTCAGACCCGTGCCACCAAACGTCTCCCACTGAGTGGTTTGGTGGGATTGGCAGGGACTTTTCTGGGAGCGTTCAGAGGCCCACGGTAACTTCGAACGAAGCAATACGCCACTAACCTGCAGAAACAAAACCAACACACTCTCCCTCGGTTCTCAGAAGTCGTGGCCTTCCAGAACAGTCTGTCCCCCTCAAGCAGGCTGTTCCCTAAAAGTGGGGAACCCTTCCCAGAAAACAACCCCTGTCCGCCCCCAGAGACTCTGCCCTTCCACCCAGAGGCCAAAGGCCAACTGTACCCCCAAAAGCACGGGCAGAAGTTGGTGCCAGAAGAACCCCAGATCACGGACCCCTCGTGTTTGACGTCGAGAAAGGGGTGATGAGAATCTAAGCCCCACAACCTCAGCACAGCATTGCGTGTGGTTGGGGACAATGAAGAACAAGCTGTATCTCGTGGTGTGGAAAACTTCAAAACCTAGACATGCTGTAAGAATAATTCTGTGGTAACTATAGAGGTTTAACTTATACCGCTTTCAGAATATGTTTTTTTCTTTTCCTCTTTCTACTAATTATACTGTGTCCATTTGGAACTCACAGGTGAGGAGGCTTCCCGTCCATCATTTAACTCCATGTCAGGCCACATGGACTCTCGCTGGGGCCCTGTTGCATGAAATGCATGCGGCTGAACCGCCCAGCTCAGAGCAGGGCCAAGGAGGGGGGGCGGTCCCTCACTAGAAAGTACCACCAAAGCAGATTGAGTTTATGCAAGGGAATCCCTACCCCCACCCACCCACCCACTCTCTCGCTGCCTCCTATCCCACCAGAGATGAGTTGGGGGGATGAGGACGGAGTGGGGAGCTGCCTTCTGGCTGGAAAGAAGGTCTCCCTGGGGCCACTCACATTGGACCCCATTGCACTTCCTCTTTTGACCTCTTGGGCTCTATTCTTTTCTAGAGATGACCTGCTTCTGGATAACAGAGCATGGGCGACTCTGGCCCCAATGGGACCTTTAGGGTCTCCTCTCCACCGTATTGACGCCCCTTGTCTCTGCTGTTCTCATGACAGCTCCGAGGGTTTGTCTGGGGCTAAGATTCGGAGTCAGAGTCTGGTGGTTGAGCCCCAGCCCTGCTTCTCAGGAGCGTCCACCTCACCGAGCCTCCTTTCCCTGTCCGTCAGGTGAGGATGGTGAAGACGACGTGAATGAACGAGCTTTGTCAACTGGAACGTCGTGCACAGACGCTTGTTGTTTCCGTTCGCGAGATCAGTCCTGTGGCTCAAACACCATCTGACATTCATTCTGAAACTTCCTCATGGCGTGTAGGAAGGGGGCAGCAGAATGTCCCTACCAGCTCAGTTAAGATCCTGGTGGCGGGGACTCACGATACAGACCCCCACTGAAGCTGGCACTCCCATCCAGAACATTGCAACCTGCTGGGCCCTGTTTTGTCCTGTCAAAGGCAAATACCCCTTTGGCATAGGGAGGGACCTAGAGGTCAAGCTTTGAGCCTGGGAGAGCCAGCGCAGTGGGTGGAAGAATGGAGACTGTAGACAAAGAGAATGACGGCAGGGAGTGGTCAGCGTCTCATCTGGCCTGCCTTGCTGCCCCTCAAGTCCGCCCTCCCCGGATCTGTAAGGGCCTGGGGAATCAGGGAAAATGCCGAGGGAAAATGCTTTTGAGCAGAAAGGTCGTAACCTACTTACAGCTTACGGAAAGCAAGACTTTGGGGTGGGCAGTGACTGACCCGGGGACGTCAGAGATAGCTGAGGGTGGCCTAGCTGGTAAAGTCGTTATTTGGAAGGGTTCCATATTCTCCAGCCAAAATACTAGACTTCTAGCTTGGACTCCAGAGATGCTAGCAGACCGTAAACCTTGTCGTGGTCCCCCGCATCATGCCGAGCTGGCTCCCAGGATGACCAGACAAGAAGGGAGCCTGTGCGCTGACCCAGCTGTTGCCCGGTGTGTGTGAGACACTCTCTCTGGATGGACTACCTTTTATCTTCCCCGACTGGCAATGGGCCCGCCTTCCATCGATGCACATGACAGCGGAGCCTTACCTTCTGTCCACGGAGCACCCACTTTTCCTGTGAGGGGACATGGTGGATGGTCCCACTTTCAGGAAGTGGCGGACCTGCTGCCCCAGCCCCAGATCTGAGCCCGATGCAGAACCAAATGGACCCACCCCCCCCTCCCCTGGCCCTGCTCTCCTCCCCCAGCACTGCATGTCTCCATCGTTACTCTGCCCCTGTCCTCCCCAGCAGTGTCCCGGGGGTCATTTGCATCCCCTCCAGACTCCTGCCTATGTGAGTCTACTCTTATGTTGCTGTGTTTGCTTCAGTGCGGGAGAGTAACTGTTAAAATGTGAAACTCTCTATATATTTTATTTTTACAAAGGCTACAGTTAAATTATAGCCAGTGGCACTCACCAAATCTTCGCACCTAGTAGACAGATCAATGTTGAAAAGCAACCAAACAAAAACCACAATCTCCAGCCCTAATTGTACAATGAGTGTGGGGGAACTAGTAACCAAGTTAGTAGTCCTCAGTCTAACCAATCACACAAGGGAAGCCGTGTTTGCCTCCTTGGCATCCCCAGCCCCAACAGCTGGCCAGTTGGTATCTGCTTCAGGGTGATTTCTTTCCATAACCTTTGGCCTGCCCTGAGGTCAAACCTTTCATCTCTCTGCATAACCGATGTTCGATGTTCAGTCTGTTTTAGGAATGAACCAGCAAAGATGTTCATTTGCAAACTGACCAAAGACAATTCCTGGTCCAGTTTCTTGGGCCTCGTGGCTCAGTGGCCGCTGAAGAGGACCAGTGGCTATCCTTCCTGGGATGAAACCGAGAACAAGCCGTGCTTCCTGCCCCACCCACTCTCCCCTTTTCCCCTTAACGAGCTGCTCTGAACTGTGGGATTCCATGAAAAATTCTTGCCTTTCCCTGTTTTCAGTGCTAATGATTTCTCACCTTGAAGCGCCTTTTGAACCCTGGACTGAGCACACAATTGGAGGGAATTGTGGGCTTGGGAATTCGACTCGGGGGTCTGTTCTCTAAGGGCGCCGGTCCAGAGGTCCGTGGACAAATGGATTCCCAAAGGACAAGAGCTTCCAAACCATGGATAGCTGGGAGTGGGAGGAGACGGGAGCCTGAGCCAACCTTCCTCACCAGCTGGAACCAGCCCTGCAGAGATCTGCCTTATAAACACTTCAGAGGTGGGGTGCGGTATGCGGAGGGGAGCCTGGCAGGGGAGAAGGGCCTTCAGGTGGGGGGCTGCCCTCTTTGCTGGTATCCCTTGGCGTGCCTTGTCAGGTAACTTCCCTTCTCATTCAGGAGGGGTGACGGCTGCAGCCCGCTGGGACCCAGTCCTGTTTGGGCGCCCGGCTGTGCACAAGGCCCATGGAAGACCAGCCGCAGGGACTGGCTGCGTCAGAGTTTCTCCCTCTTGGCCTCGCTGGTCCTAACTTTCCACACATCCAGATGGTTCCGCGTGAGGGAAGACGCCCCATTTTCCTGAGGCACCCAGAGAGAAGAGTGCCTGGCTTACCCGTGGCGGTTGGACTTGGAAGGGATGAGGAGGGGAAGGCCGATGGGGCCCAGGGGAGGATGCTGATTTTCTGCTATGCAGAGCTAGTGCTAACATTTCAAGTCAACCGCCTGGCTCTCTGGGGGAGGAGGGGGTCTCCTCTCCTTTGAGTGGTAGATGCAGAGAATTGCACCACCCCCACCCCAACCCACCCCCCACGGATACACACACACACACACACACACACACACACACACAGACCCAACACTGCCCAGGGGAGCTGCGAGAAGGGTTGTCTGCTCTGAGTCCTCCGAGCCTCTCTGGGGTTGACACGCCTGTGGCCTGCTGTCCCGTCCTTTGGGACTGGCCGCATGGCCATCTTGCCCCTCACCGACCCCTCCTTTCTGTGTGAACTGCCCTGGGGCAAATCACAGCTTCTGTTCCCTGAACCAGGACCGCTGGACTGCACTTTCTCCTCTTCCTGTGCAGGAAGACCTCCCTGGCTGGAGTCCCTGCCCCAGCCGGGCCCAGCCGAGTACTGTTTACATGGCTTGGCAATAGGTTTGTTTCTGATTGCTTCAGAGTGGCTTGTCTGTTCCATTCTGTTTGATTTCACGCCTCCCCACATCGTGTCAGGAAACGCGAATCAGAACCCCCACCCCGGAAACTGCTGGTTCCCTGTCCCCCTGTGATGACAAGTGTCACCTCTCCTGGATACTGTTTCTCCACCTGATGACCAAACGCCTGTCCCGTGCAGCGTCTGACTGGATCCTCTGCTGTGTGTTCTGACGGTGCCTGATGGTTGGATGTGGAATTACCCTGTGAAATAAAACAGCTTAACTTTTCTCAAACGTGCCTCGGTGGCTTTTTAAAGGGCTGAGTGACACGTTGGGTGGGGGTGGGGGGGCAGGGGGCGGGCGTGGAGGGCCTGCAGGGGGGGGGGAGGCACTGGGAGAGGTGAGAGGGAGGAGGTGCCCACTGTCCAATCCATTTGGTGTGCTGCCCCAGTCTCTGCGCTGCAATGCCCTTCAGCCTGAGCCAGCCAGGTGAAGGCCAGGGCCCTCGAGGGGACCGTGGCTTGCTGGGATGAGGCTGGGACGTGGGGGGTGGGGGTGGGCAGGCTCTTGGACCCCCAAACTGGTGCTCTTCACAATCTCGCATTCCCAAGCGAAACTAAGCCACACGCGCGCTGCCATCGAGTTGGCACCGACTCATAGCGAACCTCCCCCCCACTGAGGCTGTCATTGTTCATGGGGCTTGGAAAGTCCCGCCTTTCTCCCAGCGTGTGACTGGTGGTTTCGAACTGTGGACCAACAGAACCAATGCACCTTCAGGGCTCCACACTGTCTCTTGCCTCGTACTCACACATTACATCCAGATTGGGAGGTGGAGCTCTTAGTTGAAGTCCAGCATGGAGCCTGCGAGGCCCTTTCTGCAGCAGAGAAGGCGGTCTGCAGCCAGCCCCGGGGGCATGGTCCTTCCCAGCTCGACCACCCCTCCACTCTGTGGAGCTCTCCGGCTTGTCCCTGGCCCAGCAGGGAGCCCTGCTGAGAGACTGCACCCCTGTAGACAGTCTGCAGTGGATTCTCCTGCTTCTAACACTAATGCTCAAGGAGCCCCAGGGGCTTAGTGGTCCCTCATTGGGCTGCTAACCACAAGATCAGCAGTTTGAAACCACCAGCCGCTCTGAGGGAGAACAGATGGGACTTTCTACTCCTGAAAGAGCCCTAGCCTGGAAACTCACAGGGGGCAGTTCTACCCTGTCCTACAGGGTGGCTGTGAGTCAGCGTCCACTCCATGGCAGTGCATTTCATCTGGTTGTTGGTTTCACAGTGATGCTCGCTGGAGAGCCCCCATCACTCTAGCGGCAGGTGTGACATCCCTCGTAGGCTGCCAGGGAGGCAGGGGGGATCAGACCCAGTTGCCCCCCTCTATCTGCTCACAATCCAATGACAAAAAAGAATCGCACCAGAATTCTGAAATCGACTTTGCTTCAATTCAACAACCTTTCCTACCAGGATACCGTGACCTGGAGTTTCTGGGTGGGGCACATGCACGCTGCTAACTGAAAGGCTGATGGGTCGAGCCCACCCAAAGGGCTGGGGGATCTACTTCCGCCAGAAACCCTGTGGGGACACACCGCAAATCGGCCAACACCAAGGTGACTGGTTTGGGGTCTGAGACCCACAGAGACAGGAAGGACGTGTGACCGACGGCGGCTTCGCCAGTCACCAAGCCCAGACCATTGGTGGACGGTGCACTTCGTGGGTGTCTTTTTCTCAGACGCTGTGTTAGTCTGAGTAGACTAGAGAAGCAAATCCAGGGAGACTCATGTGTATAGGGAAAAGCTTTATATCAAAGAGCAATTGTATATTGAGAAAACACCCCAGTCCAGATCAAGTCCGTAAGTTGGATGTTAGCCCATATGTCAGATCTCAATCTATAAATTCCTCTTCAGTCTTACACAGCACATGCAATGCTGCTGAATGCAGGCAGATCACAGGCCAGTGGGTGGAAAGTCTTGTGGATCCAGTAGTGGTAGAAGTATCTCAGCACTGGTGTGGGTCTCCATGTGGCTTCTCCAGCTCCAGGGCTCTGGCTCCATCAGTGTAGCTCCATGTGGCTTGTCAGCAGGAATAGGTAGCAGGGAGAGTATGTCTGGCCACCAGTGAGCTATTTATCTCTGTGGTGCTTCCAAATGAGGTCTTCAAGCTGGGACCTGATTGACAGGCTAAACTCCACCCCTTCCTCAAGTTCACAGGGATTATGTAACTGCCACAGATGCTGTTGATTGCGCTGGCCAAATGGCCAACCCGAGCAGGCCTACGCAAAAGAGCATTTATTGGCTGACGGCATCAGGGCCCCTAGGCGAGGAGCACCTTTAAACACAGCATGTTGTGGGACATAAGCGTTGTCTCCGGGCCAGGTCGAGCTACGTGTTCAACCTGTAGCTGGCTTAGGGACATCTTCATTCTGTAGCCCTGTGAAGATGAATAAACAGAAATTGTTTCTGTCACTCGATTCAAAGTTGGAATAGCTAGCAGATTCGCTAGAAAATCATGCAGCTGCATGGAGACTTTACACGTGACCACGGACTCCAGGTCTGTGTCCCAAGCCCTGGTGACTATCGAGTGCGGACTGGGTGCCGGAACCAGCGATGTGTGCTTCCCTGAGAGTGAGTCATGGCAACAACCCTCCTCCGTTGCTGAGGAAACCAGAGCCCAAACCTGATGCTACTCTGCCGTCCTCCCTGCCAGGGGAGACATGGGTGCCACTTGCTGGTCCGGCCCTTCCTGACCAGCCAGGACTCTGTGGTCCTTAAGAGCCTGCACAGAGGTAAGCGTTGTTGCCCTGACAACTATATACCCCTGCTTTACCAGGAACTTCTGATAGCTTTGTCAGTAATCTGTTTGTGGGGAACCCCAATATTGAGGAGAGGAATTATTATTGATTCTGTACATCAAAATGATAATTGTTGCTATGGGCTGTACAAAGAATCACTTACTGTGACCCTTCCAGCCCTGCATGGGCTTGTGAGCCCCACAAAATGGGTGGGGCTATGTAAACAAGGTGTCCGTGGCCACCAAGCAGGATTGGACAGTGTGCTAAATAAGAACGCAAAGAAGGTTCATGATACCCCTGTGGGGTGGGATTTTGCAAATAAGGTGTGTGGAACTCTACAAGGGCATTGGTCAGTTTTACCATCATGCAGCGGTTCTCAACCTGTGGGTCGTGACCCCTTTGGGGGGTCCAACGACCCTTTCACATGGGGTCGCCTGATTCATCACAATAGCAAAATCACAGTGATGAAGTAGCAACAAAAATAACTTTCTGGTTGGGGGTGGTCACCACCATATTAGGAACTGTATGAAAGGGTTGCGGCATGAGGTAGGTTGAGACCCACCGTGCTAGACTTAAAAGATAGTCGATTCCAATTATTATCATTAAGAGAAAAAGCCAGGAGCGGAAGACACCCTTCAAACCATGCAGTGAGAATTTCCTGGACGGAGACTGTAACTCCAGAGATGCCCCAAGGTGGTGAGACGCAGTGGCGGCAGAGCCAGGAGCTGGGAGAAAGGCAGTGGGTTCCTGGCTGGTGGTCAAGCTGACGTAGAGTGGGAGTATGGAATGTTTGGGGCAAGAAGCTCACTAGCTAAGCAGGTGCTTCTGGGCACATCTTGATTGGCGCTGAAAGAGCTTTGTAACCCTGGCCTCAGGTCAGAAGTGAGGCCAAGATGCAAGGGCCAGAGGAGGTGGGCTGCAGAAGCTGTCCTATTCAAGGAACTGTCTCCTGAGGCATTCCTGATCCTGAATTGTAGCTTGCCACTTCTCTGATGCATTGGATAATCCTGAGTATTGTCGGCAAGTTCTGTGTGGCCCGTGCTGAGATTAATGAGCCCAGCGGAGAAGTAGAGAAAGGCAGCTGAGGTCACAATTGGAAACAGGTTGGAGGGCGCAGGCCTGGCCCGCCTCAGCCTCAGAGGAATCAGCTGTTGATCTTGAGTCTCCCTTGGTCTTGTGAAGTTAGATAAGGAGGTTAGGTGATTGCACACTGCACCAGCCTTATACTCTTGCTGAGAACACCTTCTATTGGCTCCCTTTTTGACTCCAACTCTCCAAAGAACATACAAATTTATAGTAGGCGGATGTTCTTCTTCTTTTTTAAAAAAAATCATTTTATTGGGGGCTTGTACAGGTCTTATCACAATCCATCCAACACCCATTGTGTCAAGCACTTTTGTGCATATGTTGCCATCATCATCATGGTGGGGCATCTGAGGGACAGAGAGGACCGTGACTTGCCCCACGTCCCAGGACCAGATAGCGAGAAAAGGCCTCTGAAGCGCTTGACCCCCCCTGCCCCACCGTGCTCTCTTGAGCTAGCCACTCTCCCGACTGCAGGGACCATTTTCAGGAGCTTGGGACCTGACTGTGAGGCCCAGCCAGGACTATGATGGGTTGGTTGACTGCAGGCCTGTGACGAAACCTCTCAGAGCCTCCGTTTCCTTAGTAACATGGAGCTCATAAGACAATCTGCGTCCAGGGTGGTTTCAAAGGATGGTCAGTGTGAAGAGCCCAGGCCATCCAAGCACACAGCGCAGGCTGCTGTGTGAGCAGAGCCTGGGTGCTCCTATGTATAGAGAGTGTAGGATCAAGAGTGATAACAGACGCTGCGGTTGGCATACTTACTACATGCCAGATTGTCTTCTAAGTCTTTTCACGGATGACAACAACGCACCGATCCCCTCAACCACCCACGAATTCAACACTGCTCTCCCTCCCACTGCTGTTGCTGCTGTTCCTTGCTGTTGCGTTGCTCTAACCATGGCGGCTCCACGTACAAAGCACTACCCATTCCCGCACCTTCTTCCCAGTGCTTGGCACGCTCCAGTCTGGGGTGGGTGGTTGCCATGCTGCGCGTTGAGTGGTTTCCAGCCTAGGGGCCTCACCTTCCAACTGCAGAGACGGCGTAGTTGTAGCTTCTGTTGTGGATTTTCACTGATTCTCAGGAACAGCTGGACAGGCAGGTCTTCCTGAATCTGGAAGCCATGGGTGACCCTGCTGGTCTTTCAAACACTAGTGGCGTGACTTGCAGTATCACAGCAACGCACAAACCATCACAACACGGCAAAGTGGCAGCAGGTGTGGTGGTGGTGGTAGATTCCTGCTTTCTCTCTGAGGAAATAGCACAGAGGGGTTATGCACTGGCCAGGAGGTTACAGGGTGAGGTTCAGACCTATGTGGCCTTCTGAAATGGTCAACAGCTTGATCAATTACAGATTGTACAAGTTGGTGGAATTCTTCAATTTCTTCATCATTGGCTTTAGCGGTGGGGCGTGTCCATTTAAAT